AAATAGCTATCATCAACAGATTGATAATAGGCCGTTATATCTAACGCTTTCAATCGCCGACTTTATAGTGGGTATCAATCATATGAATTTTGGATTAATATACCTAAACAATAGGTAGACGTTAGTCCGTTACTACTACTGACTTTGAGTATCACGAGCGCTTTGTAAGGTATTTTGGTACTTCACTGAGGTTGTGTTTTGATTAATACACTGGACATACACTTTGTGTCCGAAACTTAAAGTAGAATATAATGCGATCACTATTCACTAGTGGGAGAAGGTTCTGAATATCAGTGACATCCTCACAGTGGTGTGTGAGGTCAAGGTCTAGCAATGACGAGTCATGTTCCAAGTCAACATGTGTCAGTATTACGATATATTGTATAAGTGCACATTGAATGTCGCTGTCGAAATCCCTACCTAAAGCTGTAAGCTCTGTTCAGTTGATATGCGGTGCATTTAAATCTTCAATGATAAGACAACGGTTTGCCTTACTCCAGGAACAGATGTTTCTCAAGATAAAGTAGACAGCAAGGCAATAGAGATTATGATATATTCCTCCTATAGTCACTAATCCGTTTCTAGACGTAATTGTACAATATCCCTCTTCACATGTACCACTAACATATGAAGATGGCACAGGTATTCAGTGTTTGACAACGCTTTAACCAGTAACACCTAATATAACTCGTACCCACCAAGAGAAGTCAAAAGACATATTTGTTGACTGTCAATATATCGAGAATCGCCTGATCTCATCTGGACAGCGATTGCAGTAGATGTTGAGCAGACTTAAGGTGTTTTGGTAATCATTCGTTCTACCCATATGGGTCTCGGAAGCATTGGATTCCAACACCTGACTACCCGAACACCTTTAACCATAAGGTTCGTCTCGCCATTTAGCGTTTGCGTTCTTTCGCCTGATTCGATCCTCAAGTGGCCAATCTGGCCGGGTGCGAATATATCAATAACGAGTTTTGTATGCATATTTAACATTACATCTCTTCGAAATTCCCGGGTACCACCATTTTACTCCGTTTCGGTTCGGTCTAGCCTCTAACACATCTAGCTCTTCTTATTACTTTCGTGATGTGTACCCCTGAAGCCTCTTCAGGAGGCACAGTTTTGATGACAGATTCCACCAACTCCAGGTAGCGTGCATGTCTTCTAGCAGGGTCATTGTCCTTCAACTCCTTTAGATCCCACATAATCTAACAAGGAACGTGTTCAATTTTTTTGGAAGTCATGTTCACGGCTTTCGATCCTGGTGTCAATTCCTACCTGTCAATTGCTGGCATTTTACCTTTAGTTTCCCCTGTAAAAACGTCGTGTGATTCAAGCGAATGACTCACCACGATGTTTGATACGGTTAAACTTTTCCCGCCTACGATAGGGTTAAATATTGTCTTATCTTGGAACTTTGGCGGAGTAATCTGATACGCAGAATGTGGGTCCACCAAGGACCTTTCAATTGGATGGACGTTGTTTGGCTCTTTCCTTCTCTTCTATGTTTCCGAGTCGTCCATTCTCCATCGTTCTCTGCTGTAGCAACTTGGCCACCAGTATATAAAGGTATATCGCTCATTAATTGTTTCGGCATAGAAATCCTTATTGCATGTTGAATATTAGGATGTTTGGCACGTGTCGCTGTGGCATTTACGACACTGACAAACTATTCGTTATCAGTTCCCGTGTAAAAAACCCAACTCTCATCAACTTTTCTGATAATCAATGTCAGAAGGATAATTGCTTCCTGGATTAGTAATGTTCTGCTCGAACAACACAACACACCGAGCCAATGAGAGTTAGGCTTTGAGCACCTTTTATAGGCAGTTGGACTTAAGCGGGCACATATCTCATGGAACTACTTCTTACACTCGTCATATTGCATTTCTTCTTCCACAGGGAATCAGCAGTACGGCTGCCCACATTTGTGAGCAGAGCCGACCATCGTAAAACTTAACTAAAAATGTTGACACAAAAATGGACATGTAAAAGAATCTCCAACCTTAACTGAATAAATCAAGTCAAAATCGACCAAGTATGCTTTGATGCAAAATCAAAACACACAAGTACAATATCACTTTAAGTGAAATAAATTCAATTAAAGTGCAAACAGCAGTATTGATGTGAAATTTCGCGATCGAAACAGTAATTTAACTTAACGAGAAATAATACCATTATCCTTTTTAAATAGCGCGCTTTCCAAGTCACCCGAATTATCAGTTTCAGTTTGGGAAGGACAGGAGGCCTGATGGCCTGTGTTAGTCCTGGCAATGGTGGTCTCTCAGTTGATCCAACTTTCTTTTGAAAGAATCGACGGATGGAGCCTCAACCACGTGCTGAGGTAATGAGTTCCACTCGTTGATGATTCGATGGGAAAGTCGATAGTCAGCTGACAAGTAATTTGTTCTTGGCTTGTGAACTTTTTTGGAGTGTCCTCGTAAATTCTCTGTTTTGGAAGACAAGAAAAATGAGGGCATATCAGGTGCAAATTTGGCACTAAGCAATTTGAAAACTGTAATCGAGTCGCCTCTAGTTCTGCGATATGACAACGGGAAAAGGTTCAGCTTGGCCAGTCGAGCTTCATACGGAAGCTTCGCTATTCCGGGAATCAGCTTAGTTGCCGTTCTCTGAACCTTTTCCAGAAGCTCACTGTCTTTTTCTAAGCAGGGGCTAGCCGCTTGTATGCAGTACTCAAGTTTAGGACGTACGAACACTGTATACAAAGTCAAAAACGTCTTAGCGTCGACATGACTAAAAGCCCTACGTATTGACCATAAGGTTCTAAAACCTTTGGCGGCTATTGCACGGCAGTGTGCAGTAGTCTTTAAGTCTTGGCTAACGATGACTCCTAAGTCATTATATGTCTGGACAACAGGTGTTATTCATCGTGTATGTATCTGTACCTTGATGACCGATATGCATCACAACACACTTGGAAGTATTTATCGGCAACTGCCATGTTTGAGACCATTCAGATAACTTCTTCAGGTCATTTTGAAGTTCTAAGCTATCACCCTCACATCGTATCGTTCTCCATATCTTGACATCGTCAGCATATAGCAAGACCGATGATGATAGGAGACGAGGAAGGTCATTTACATACAAGAGGAATAGCACTGGCCCCAAAACTGTACCCTGGGGCACTCCACTAAGCACAGTTCCCCAGCTAGATAACTTTGAGTTCACCCTTACTCTTTGTTGACGCCCAACTAAGAAGTCTTTTATCCACATAAATAGATTGCCTCCAATCCCGACATTTCTTAACTTATATAACAGCCGGTTGTGCGGAATCTTGTCAAAAGCTTTTCTGAAATCAATGAAGGCTACGTCTACAGGTAACTTTTGGTCCTTAAGAGCGCACCAGCTTTCACGAGCCACTAATAAGTTAGTGAGACAAGAGTAACCTATTCTGAAACCGTGCTGCTTCTCCGAAAGGATCCGGTTTTTATCGAGATACTTAAACAGCTAACGGGGCGGTAATTCTCAGGTTTGTGTTTCGTACCTGTTTTGAAGACAGGACTTACTATGGCGTTTTTCCTGTCTTTCGGTAAACGACCCTGCGTAACGGATAGGTTAAAGCATATACTTAAAAGGCTTGCAACGAAGTTAGATAATTTCTTCAGTAGCCTAGGATGTAATTCATCGGGCCCTGTGGATTTACCTATGTCAAGCTTATTTATTAGACCAAAGACACCGAGTTCTTTAATGGTCACGCTATCCAGTGTATATGTGGGGGGATCTGTATGCGCTGATGGGAAGGGTGCTTCTATGGTGTATACATTGCTGAAGTAGTTTGAGAACACTTGAGCCTTACCAAAGTCGTCCCCCACTAGTGATGCGGCAGTACTGTCTCCCCATAGAACAGGAATATTTCCTCTTCCCTTTGTCCTTTGGTTTATATAAGAATACAAGCGTTTAGGACATTCTATGGATTCATTAACAATCTTTTCTTCGTACAACTTTCTAGACTTACGGAGGGTCGAGGCACAGGTATTCCGGACTTTTCTATACTGGGATTTAGTTTCATCAGATCCCAGTAACCTAAATCTAGCCCACATTTTTCTTCTCTTACGGAGAAGGATGCGGACCTGTCTACTGAACCATGGTGGGGAGTTTCTCGGCCCCCTTGGTGTAGTCCAAGGGATGTGGGGTGTCGTAACTTTTAAGTGTGAATTTCGAAATGCGTCCCAGGCCATTTCCATTGAGGACTCTGGGTCTATTGTCCAATCTACTAACGATGCTGAATGCATGATATCTGGTATGTTTGCTTTCCAGACGTTAGGTCTGGATGGGGCTGATGCGTGCTCGTGACTGACAGTTATATGGAAGTCATTTTCTTATTTTCATATTACAATCACCCAGTCACCTACCTGGTAATATGATAGTTGTTGGTATCCAGGACTCTTAATGCCCTGAGACAAACGCGCTCAATCAAACTACAAGATATAAAAATCCACAAATAACTACCAGACTGATTCGAACTAGTAGATTTGGGTGGTTAGACTACTAACTACTGAACATTGCCAAATACCTGGAACCCGCCGGTCTAACAATATACGAGCGCAAAGAAGTCAATCGGCTTATACAAGCTCGCGACAAAGATATTAGAGATATTGGAAATGAGTGATAGCAAATGAAATTTGAAGTTTATAAACTTCAACCCTATAGGGTTGTGGCGCTGGCGTATGTTTGGTTTAACTAAGGTAGAAAGTTCGTTACTGAAATGTGCGTTTGTTTTGAGGTCGGTCTTTGCGTTAATAATAGTAAGTGACTATTATTTCTTTCCATAAGACGCATTTAGTCTTTCAGTAGTCTTCTTCCTGATCATGCTGCTGACGCTTTAAACCCCGGAGGAACCTTACGCTGGATGGGTGGATAAGATTACCCGAATATTCTTTCAGGGGTTTTGCAAATGGGATTGCATTTATTTTACTTTCATCGCAAACTACGGTTATATCTTTGAAAATAGCCTTGTCTTTCTCCCTGGTTTTCCCATGTTACTAGGCTTATTAGGTCGTTTGGCTCTAAGAGTTAGTGTACATTCTCTGAGTTTATCTTCTTCAATCCTTTTATGTGGATTCTTGTCAAACTTTGTCTTAAATCTAGCCTCCGCAGTTTTTTTATACCGCCTAGGAGTTATGATACTGGGTTCTGTAAAAGTTAGTTTTCTTGCTTCGTTACTATTTTGTTGTAATCCAGCTACAGTGTTCTTTTCATCACTTTACTCTGAGTCATTGTTTTTCTTTTTTACCATTTCTGGGTTATATTTTATGTATGTCAACAAGATCTTATTGTCTTCTTTGTTAATCGCGTTTTCTGTTATGTGCAGAAGCAATGGGTTGCTAAACATAGGATATTTAGGTTACTTCATGGTCATTCGTTCAAACTTCCGGGTGCTAATATGGATAGATGAAGTTCACAAAACCAGAAAGTCCTTCATATCTTTCTTGCTCTTGTCCATCAAGTGGTGGGTCAACGTTGTTGTTTTCTTCATGCCACGCCTTGTGTTACTCTTTTTATGCTCTCTCCCTTTTTTATTGTATCAAACCTACGGTTACTTTTTATATTGTTCTCGCGTGCAATCGTCTCACACTGTATTTCCGTCAAAAATTCCTGTACCACTGCTTACCTATGGCCTGGATCATGGCTTCTCAATACCAGTTCGCCTTATAAACGAATCTAGTTCTTCTCACTTACCAGTTTGGTGTTCGTTTGCACCGCCATTCTCATATTCTCATATACAAAAGAGTCAGTGGAATGTTGGGTTGTGGGGATATTACCAGCTACGGCAAATTCCAAATTTTATTCTGTCCTTACCCGTAGTTACCTTATGCTTTATATGTGCGATTATGTTTTACCGAAGAGCCCCAAAAGCATATAGAACCTTTGGGCTATGTGCAGAATGCGAAATGGACCGTATCATGGTGCCGTATGTGTTTCATATGCTGTTTCTGTGCTCTTACGGGGTTCTCCACATAAATGTTCAAGTGAGTTGTGCTTTTAATTTAAATTTTTTACACGCATCTTGACATTTGGCATCACAATATTTGTGATTGTTTTGGTTATTTATCTAATTCAGTTATTTAAACATTTACTATATGTTCTTTAGTGCGGATAGAATTTTTCGCCAAGCATTCGTAACTTGATATTGAATGAGATTCGCAAATATCATTCCGCTCATTACTTCCAGCGGAAAGTTTTGTGGGTAGCTGATTATTCTTACCAATATGGCTCATTTGACAGTCATAAAGTTACTCGAGTTTTATAATTAAGTAAACAATGTTATGCGCTTTTTATCGAAGTATTTTATGATTTCGAAATATGTTAAAGTACTTACTGGCAAGTAAATTTTTACCGAAGAGTACTTTTAGTTAAAGTTTGTTCAGTTATCACTTGACCTAATGAATTAACAAAAGTTGTGATACCGAAACTAGTAATTCATTGTGTCTAGTAAATTCAGTACCCTGGAGGTGATTGGGCTTTATAGTATGGTTATTAGTCAGTTAAGACGAAATATCGAACGATCGGTCCTATCATTTCTGCCTTAGAGTTCAAACTTCGCACCAACTATCTTTCAGATGTCCATATAACACTAAGGCTAGTGATGTTAGTAGCTCATATTCTAGCGCATAGAATTGTTTAAGGTTGTGGAGATTATTGAATTTTGTTGAAATCATTAACCAATCAATGCTAAATCACTGTTGAGAACCTCAAAGCACTGGACGGCTGTTCCGTCCTAGTACAGGACTCCTCACTAGTGGGTATGCACGACCCTGCATGTGTCAATCGAACCCCAAACCTTCAGTCTCGCACGCAAACGCTTAATCACTAGGCCACTGAGCGGGCATCCAACGGTGTTGATGTCTAGCTCCAGTCAATCCGCGATATTGCTCAATGATCTGCTGTCTTCGGTGAGTAACTGATCCCCACAATCATATACTGATAATTATATGCCTGTTAGCAACTAGCTCCTGTAGGAAATTTTTCAGGGTCCTAGTGAGAAGCTGTGGCCATTGGAGTTCGACCTTGTCGGGTATGGGGCACTTGTCCACCGAAGACAATGGGAGATCATTGCGCAATATCGCGGATTGATTGGAGTTAGACATCAACACTGTTGGATGCCCGCTCAGTGGCCTAGTGAATAAGCGTTTGCGTACGAAACTGAAGGTTTGGAGTTTGATTGTCACATGCAGGGTCGTGGATACCCGCTAGTGAGGAGTCCAACTGCGAATCACGATCATTTTGTAAACCAAAACCAAGGACCTTACACCTTTATACTTAGCTCAAAATGACAGTTATAAACTCTGTGAACATGTATCGGGTCTTAGTTTGCATGCTTTTGGCTGTTATTCAGCTCCATGTTATATTAATCAGCTCATCGCATTATGGCAGATGTTAGGTGGTTATTTATGACATGTCAACCTTCCTGGTCGATGAGGTTCAAAATCACAGTAACCTGTTTACCATAACTACTTAGTTCTTAAGACCTACTCTCGATTTTACTAACTAATTGGTTTCACTATACACATGAAGAGGTTTCAAGGCATTCATGATCAAAACCTCCCGACTGTAGCTGCTACCTTGATGTGGTGGTCGGGCTTGCCTATTGTGATGACCCAATCGAGCTATATTGGCTGGAACATGTGTTCCTAATCTTTCCGATTATTGCTTATACTTTTACTACCTCTACCACTATGGGATTTGAGTCGGCGACTGCATCTCTGTGCTAATGTGGTATGGCAACTTGAACTGATGTATGTACGTACGAAGTTCTACGTTGTTACTGACTGACTGATGATCAAAACCTAACAACCTATGCCATGTACCCTTGCCGTCGTAGACCAATAGTGGGCGAGCTGCTGTTCAGTATAACCACTTTGACAGTCAGATAAATATCTCATCCTCCCTTCGGGTAATGCAAATCGACAAAACCGGAGCGTGGTAAGATTCTATCAGCTGCTAACCCATCGAAGCTGATAGGATGAAATGGTTAAAGTGTTTAGTATGTTCCATTCCGCTACCCGAAATAAAGGTAACGGTTATTTTGTTTATTTATCTTTAACCATAATCCTTAACTGAAAAATGCAATTAGTTGGTCAGGTCACTTGTAAAGCGTATATAAGTGGTTATATTTACTTGTACACATATCAACCAAATAGTTTTTCACTACTTTCATTGAATGACTCACATTCGCAACTCCTATGTATTCATTCTCACTTATTTTTCTGTTTCATAGGTGTTAACACGTATGATATTTTCATCCTGTCCTGTTATCTATTGGTTTTGTGCATATCTTCTTTGTGAAACGTTGCCCAATTTCGAGCCATTAATAATGAATAAGCACAATAGTAATTCTCTGATCAATATTAGATTTGAATTGTATCATTATTTAGTAGATATTTATAAAGCATTAAATCCTTTTCAATATCATTTAGTAAAACATCGTATTGTGCTTTGTTATTTCTTAAGTTATGCTATTATAGGCTGTATTTTACATCCTAATTTTTTACCATGGACATAGTACCCCCTTTTTTTCTCTTTTTGTGTTTTCTAATAAGATTAGTCATTATAATAACTAAAATGGTTTACAATTTGATTTTTTTTACATTTCAATTAACCAGTATCTTGTGTTCAATTGTTAGATTCCTCCTGTAGATTGGTAGGACAATTTGTTTATGTTTAGTGTCTACTTACTGTCAAATGGTACGCGGTGTATTTTGTATGTATGTATGTATGTATATGTGTGTTTGTGTGAGTTTGCAACCTTTTCTTGTATCAGATTGGATTTTTATTATCAACCGATTACATAACCTTGTCTTTAAATCTGTTATATCTTTTACTCCTGTTGATCTTCTAATTCTGCTGTTTTAAAGAAAATATTGTTAAACTGAACAATAGCCATTCAGTAAGTCAGTAACAACGTATAACTTCGTACGTACGTACATCAGTTCGAGTTGCCACACCACAATAGCCATTCGTTTGGTACTGATGATTTTTATTTTTAACTACAAAACTTATAAATTAGTGTAACGATTTAGTAAAGAACTAATTGTAGAGAAATATTTCTTCACTGAACTTGTGTCTTTGATAGTTAAGATTGATTGATAGTTCTATGCTGGAGATAATGGTAAGAATCCAGAATAGAGGAGGTGATGTTACGGTTGCTAATATTCAGATTTCCAGAAAGAATTGTGGTGAAAATAGTAAATTATTCTATATTTAGAACTCAAATCAAATCAGTATTTGAATACTAATAAGACTATATAAGCGTGAAAACTTAAAAGGATTATTCGATTACAATCATAGTCACCATGGCAGTGAAAGGTTCACTGCCTTATTAATTATTTAGAATGTATGGCTAAATTTGATTTTGTGTCCTTTAGTGGCCCGTGGATCTGATTCCGATTGAGATCGTATAAATGTTTGCTATCGCCTATTCTCGTATATCGTCGTCGACTTGAATCGCGTTAGTCAATAACGGAATTAAATAAGTCGAATAACGAGAATTGACTTGAGAATACATATATTTCGTACATGAAGTGAATGAAGCACAGCAAAGCAAAAATGACACGTATGGAAGATGGCTGGGAAGCCAACTCCATTTTAGTCGAGCGTTACTCAATATTTATAGGCAGACAAAATAAACTACAGACATGTGATGAATCATGGGATGTGAAGTGTACACACATATACGCTCATATAAAAACAGTCTAGATTGATAAGCGAATAATTGACAAGGTCAAAATATGACTCAAGTAGAATGAATAGAATGGAATGTCCGAAAGCTAGAATAGGATACATGGGCTTAACACAATAACCGACACTACAGTCCATCAGGACCCTGACGATTGCACTCGTTTAGAGTTTACTGACTTTCAGACAGGTCCCTTGGAATGTGCTTAAGCTTCTACCAAAGTTTATGAACACGTATCTTTATAATCAAATGATCTTTTTAAGTTTTCTATCCTGCATGATATTGTTGATGCTCAAATACAAATTTGACATGTTCCAACTACAAAATTGTACAATAATTTACTATTTCCACTACAACTGTATAGTCTTTTTTTAAAAAAGTCTGATTATTAGAAACTATGGCACTACCTCCTTTATTTTGTATTATTATTGTTATTACTATTAACATGTAGATATTCGTTAACCTTAACTATGTTCAATCAAATATATCATATCTTGCTCTTTTACCTATGAATTTTGGTTCTGTTTTGAATATTCATCTACAATTCCTTGACTAAAGTATGTTAAACCATTTTTGTAATTATATTACTCCTTGAAGCGAGAAGCCATGAAATAAAATGGATTCATTTTATTCTGCAGATTTTTATTTTTGCACTGTTTAACAAAATATTGACTAGTTAAATGATTTCCCTACTTACATATTTAACTTGTTTCAACATAAGGTCACTCTTTTCAATTCTGACTGATCGGATGATATAGACAGTTTTTAATGTATAATACCCAATAATTCTTAGTGTTGCACCGCTTCCCCACAGGTCTATTAATTTCGATAGCTATCGACACTGCCAGCCAGTCATAAGCAACATTGAACCGAGCATGTAGTGTCAGTCATTATTTTAAGCCCAATATCTTATATTCTAGTTTTCGGACATTCCATTCTATTCATTCTACTTGAGTCATATTTTGACCTTGTCAATTATTCGCTTGTCAGTCTTGACTGTTTTATATGAGCGTATATGTGTGTACACTTCATATCCATGATTCATACATGTCTGTAGTTTATTTGTCTGCCTATAATATTGAGTAACGCTCGACTAAAATGGAGTTGGCTTCCCAGCCATCTTCCATACGTGTCATTTTTGCTTTGCTGTGCTTCATTCACTTCATGTACGAAATATATGTATTCTCAAGTCAATTCTCGTTATTCGACTTATTTAATTCCGTTATTGGATAACGCGATCTAAGTGGACGACGATATACGAGAATAGGTGATAGCAAACATTCGTACGATCAAAATGGAGTCAGAACAAACGGCCACTAAAAGCACACATACATCGCTCTTTTTTTTACACTACATCATCAAAGCACGACAAAATTATCAAGATAAATGCCAGAGTTGTAGAAGTAATAAGAAACACTAGACGTAAGCAATATAATGCTTGAAGAAAGAATTATTTCGCGACACAAAAATAATAAGTATTTTAAGACAGTGATACCATACACACCATTATGACTAGTTCTAAACCATGTCATCCAACGTTTCGAACCATTGATTACAGGGACCTCAACCAAATAACCTGCACCTACCAAAACGACTTTATTCAACAGTTAATGACTTGATGGACTAGTATCATTTCTTAGTATATCTGCCCCTAGCTTTGTTCCGACGTTATCCTTTACCAACTATGGCCGCATTTCGAAGTAAAACTTTTCAACAAACGTTGTACTTTTGTATCCCAATAAGTTATATGTATGAAACAGTGAGTTATTTAGATTTTTAGTTCTTTTTAGCATTCGCGATATGTTTTCTGAAAAGAAGTGGTATAATATTATGACCAATAAGTGTGTGAACTGAACTACTAAATGCTTTTGGGGAGAAATACGAGAAGTTGATCAAGTATTGAGAGGTGTTTATATAGTTTACATATTCGATCAGGCTTCTCAGTGGAGATCGTGAAGATTGTAACATGATTAAAGACCAGGATGACAGTCGATCATCTATGTTGGTAATAATAAGTTTGTCATACTTTCTGTTTGCCGTATTATTGTGCTAATATTGATAATGAACTAGGTGTGAGGAAATCGTATTTGTATGACAGTTACAGGAAAAAATGAGGGAGCTGAAAAGCATGCCTTCTAAATACTTCCAGAAATGTTTTAGTTGGTGAAAATGGCGATTTAATAAGTATACTGCCATTTAATGGGGGATTTGGAAGTCGATAAAATTAATATCTCTAAAATTACGATCTAACTTCTTATTTAACTTAACAGAATACATACTGCCATATGATAATTTTTAATTGTTTTGTATAGAAATGATAATTGAACTTGAGCCTATACCTGAATTCTATACAGATTTAAACTAGATGTCACAAATGACCGTTTTTTCTTGCTAATTAGTGTGGTCACATCAATTAACGAATATTATGTTCGATTATTATGCCATCCAAAGGCTTGAATCAATCAATGTTTTATCATTTTAATTAACCCCGTTAAGTATCCTTATTTGTAAATTATTTCCTTATTAACAATCTAATCAATATTTCGGTTCATTTCCTGTCGGTGGATAGAGATTGACAGTCTTGTCGAATATTTTACGTTCACTTGACCTTTATTTGGTAACTATGATAAGCAACTGTCTGTAAACCTACTTTCTATATCTACCATGAAATGATTAAGTGAACTTGAGGAAGTAACAAATCAACCATTCGTTGAATAAACTTTGATTTTCGTCATATATATCAGTCTGTCATGTATACACGTATGTGTTATATGATTGCGTTATATGCAAATAAGCTGTTTATACGATAATTTAGCGTTAATAAATTTATTTAAAAAGTCTAATTCATCATCAGTATTGAAAATTCAGTACATGTAAATGACCAATAGTATTTACTGGACATCTTCAGTAGATGGATAGGGAATGAACAAAATCTGTACCTCTTTGAGATTAAATGTTCATACACTTAAACGTTCAACTGGTTGGAATCATCAATTTTTTTTATCTAAATTACAATATGTCAAGTATCAGTAGTATAAGCCTATATCTGTCTTGTTGAATTATTTATTAATAGAAGATAAACATCAGGTAAATCTGGCTGACGAGTCCCAAGTGGGACGAAATGCGCGTCCTGGATTCCACTTACTTACGCCTCTTACTTCTCGTGAAGGAGCATAGGCCGCCCACCACCATTCCCCATCCAACCCTGCCCTGGGCAATGCTTTCCAGTTGTTATTCATCCTTTTCTTATCTGCTTCTATTATCCGACGTGATGTGTTCTTTGGTCTTCCTCTTTTTCGCTTCCCTTCAGGATTCCAAGTTAGGGCTTGCCTCGTGATGCAGCTTGATGATTTGCGTAATGTATGTCCTATCCATTTCCATCATCTTTTCCTAATTTCTTCAGCTGGAAGCTGATTTGTTTTCTTCCACAGTAGACTGTTGCTGATGGTATCCGGCCAATAGATGTTGAGTATTTTGCATAGACAACTATTTATAAATGCTTGAACATTCTTGATGATGGTTGCAGTAGTTCTCCAAGTTTCAGCTCTGTCTGGATTCCATTGCTAGCCACCAAACCATCATTGCTTATAATGCTTGTGAATTAAGGCAATCCACACAGGATGCATATATACCAACATGAGACTGATCAATGGAAGGACTCGAACAAACAATACCAAATGAAATTAAAGAAAAACAATGTTTTAAAAAAATCTAAGGTCTTTTTCTTATACATATATTCTTATTCAATTATGCTCATATTATTTATCCTCTCATCTCCTGTCCTCTCCTTTTCTCTACATGACAACCAGCTCCATCCCCACTTTTCAAAATACATAAATAAAACAAACAATCTTAATTGATCATTACAATAAGCGATCATAATTAAGATAAAATTTCAGTAAAATCTTGTTTGTTCTTGTTTCTTTTTTTTTTTTTTTACATTTTTTAACGGATACACAAATTCATTTTCAAGGTAAATAATTAAAATGTATATTCATTAGAATACAAATAAATTCTGATTGAAATCTTTATCTACTCTCTCTCTCTCTCTGTTATGTTTACATATTTACTTTTATATTTCAATAAAAAATAGTTGAATTTATAATTATGTCTACTTATGAGTAGTATTGAAATAAAACATGTAATATTTGTATTATATTGTATAAATTATAGTAGAATAATGTTTACAGTATATTCTGTATTCATAGTAAACATTGTTGATTGATCATTTAATTGTAAAAGAGAAAACAAACAAACCAAAAAAAACAATCTAAGTTGATCATGGTAATAGTTTGGTAGTTTTTCACTTGGAACAAAAACAAAAGAAGAAGAAACAGGAAAAAAAGTGCTTGTCAACAAATTTGTAAATGAAACTAAATTATAGAAAAAAAAGTTTAAAAGGAAAAGAAAAAAAAACACAACGAAATGATGAGAGTTAAGTCATAATTAGAAGAAGAAAAAGGAAAAGAAAGAAAAGAGAAAAACAAATCTGACCAACACAATATGAAATACAATTTATAATTAAATGCATTAAATCTGAAAATTTTTTTTAAAATATTTATATATGTAGATGTATAATGTTTAATTTTGAATATGGAAGAATGTTGAATATTCCTTGGATCTATTTATTCACATGTACTTTTCGTGGATACTAATCTCTCCCCCCTCTCCGTATATATATATATATATATATATACTATAGAATAGAATAGAGGACCATCCTTTCTGCCAATTTTTCATATAATCTGAATCAATTAAGTGTACAATGTTTACATTGTTATTATAGTATGATTATATAACATTTCATGCATAATGCAGGGGGGGGGGTCGAGGGGTAGGGATAAGGGAGAAATTAATCACTCAGTTATTTTAATTGTTTACAAATACTGATATCTGGAGTTTAACAAATTGTTTTTATACAATTTGAATACTCTTTTATTATGCTAATATCACAAATGTATAATAATTCTTTTCTTTGATAAATTTGTTTATTCTGCTCTGTAATAGGAAATCTATTATGAATCATATAGATGATAGATATATATAAAAGGGGTATTTAAATCCAATGAATATAATTATCATCTTTACATTCAAATGTTTTGGATAATCACATAAACCGGAAGTTTATTTCTTCCATGCTTGATTGAAACGATTTTTAATTTTTGATAAATTTCCTGATGATGAATTACTATAAGTTGGTAGTGTTTTTGTCATTGTTGTTGTTGTAGTAGTTACACTATTTATACTACTATTAATAATATTCGTAAAATGAGTAGTATGAGTGTTAGTAGTAGTAGTAGAAGAAGCAGTAGTTGTTATTGTTGTAATGATACTAGGTGACATAATTGTTGTTGTTGTTGTTGTGCTTTCATTGGATGATAATCTAGATTTTTGTTTAATATCTGTGGAGACTTTATATGAATAAAGATTTTTCACAAGATTTGATTTGATTAAAGTTGTTTCATTTGAAGTAAAATCAGATTGATTTGTACGGGAACTTTCTAATAATGGTGATAATGAACTATTTAATGTTGTTGTATTATTATTCATAAGATTTGGCATTTCATCATCATTCACTATTCTTAATGATTGATCTAATGAAGTTTGATGATTTTGTATTAGATTATCTTGAATTATTGATTTATTCGTTAAAGGAATTTCTATACTTAATTCATTGGTTAATTGATCTTTATCGGAATAAATTGGTGAAGAATGTGAATCAGTTAGATTAGTTATATTGGATTTGATTAAAAGACCAGTAGATTGACTAGATTCTTTTGCTTGTTTTATCCATTCATTTGATTCATTTAATAATAATGTCATTAGTTCAGTTTGTCCTGTTAATAAACGTAAATTCCAAGTTACATTATCAGCTACACGTGACATACGTCGCCAATAGATTGAGGTACCACTAGTAGTTGTTTTATTATTTCGATTATCTGTATTATCTTCTATAATTTGTGAAGTTACATGTCGGCTACTTTCTGATGTCAAACTACCAAAACGTGTTTCATGACTATGAGATATTGAACTCCTTAATGATGTGGTTGCTGCTGCCGCTGATGATGTTAATTTTGAAATGGCGGTAGCATGAGATGATGGCGCTTTTAAACCTTCTAAAAAAGTAGTATATGCGTCTAAGGCAGTTCTTTGAGTTTGTTGTAACTAGAATTTATGTAATTAAAGAAAAAAAAGTAAAATATTCAGTTGATAAAAGTATTTATTAGTGGAAAGGATCAATTTTATAAGTTAAATCATCAGTTTCATAGTTTACCTTCCAGGATTTAGATATAATATGGCGTGAAGTAGTAGTTCCCATATGCTTACTCGAAATAATCAGAGGGAAGTATTTGTAATCACTCAAAATGGCATTACTTATCTTATACTCTAACCATTGAGCTTCAATTAATTACTACTGCAGTCACAGATGTTAGTTATCTTGTAGCCATGTTCACTCAGTGTCAATTAGATGAATATCTGTTGTTCGCATTGGAAATTAGTCAAAATCAAACCAAAATGAAAAGTATTCTAAAAATCATACTCGATATTAATTATAATGATCATTTCAGGAAATTATAATCAACGGTGATTTATATCAGTTAGCCTATCACACTGCATTGTTCTCCATTTAATTTCTTGTCAGGATATTCTAACTCTAGCGGATCATGGTAGGTGGTCGAATCTTAACTATTGATATAGAATTACCTTGGAACAGAAAAAATTCAAGGAATCTAACGGAATAGACTCTAGGGTGAGACTATAATTTATGGACGGCCTTGGGCGACGCTAGACTGACCTTGATAGTGTCTACCTGATAACGAGGACCAAATGTGAGGAATTATAATTTACAGTTGATGATTAAGGTTAAGAAATAGATTTCAGGTTTTCATCACGAAATGACATCAGTTATAATGCCAAAACGATATTTATCCATATGGATGGGTGAATTTTGCACCAAAATCTGAGACCTGTCATCTTATACCTGATTGGTTCGTCCATAAATTATAGTCTCGCCGGCTGAAGTGACTTCATTTTGTTTGCTATGCTCTAAATCTTTTAAACATGCATCAGCTTTGAATAGATAAATAGTGTTCCCTGAACGTAACGTTGAATCTTAAATACATAAGATGATTTGGTTTAATAATGGAAAATAATTCATCTTATACCAGAACGTTTGTTTTATTAGCGTTTATTTAAGAAACTAGTAGTATCAAGTCCTAGTTTTCTTTAGTTCATCAGTTACTTTTATGTTAAAATGTTCTTGAAATTCAAATAAGCAGTCGTAACTGGTGGAGATCAGACATATTAGGAGTGAAACATTTGTTCACAGTGAAACTGAATGACTCACTCTATACAATGAATTGGTTCATTTTGAAACTACCAGTGAACGTCAATCCAGCTGTTTTAATGATGAATGATTCTCCACTAGACCTGATGATCTTTAATCCCAGCCCCGGTAAAGTCATAGGTGCTCACAGCTGAGTAGTCTCGTACTGCAATGAAACAGCTATACATTACTGCAGAAGGTCGGTTGCTGTCCGAACAACCCAGTAGTGACGTCTCTGACTGTGACACGGGATCGAATACGTCAGGGAGCACCAGTTCCCTCAAGATTACAGGTACACCTTGCTGACGAGTGTCAAGTAGCACGAAACACGAATCCAGGATTTCCTGTTGACTACCTTTAACCACCATCTAAGCTATACATTACTCTCTGGTTTATAATGGTATCTCGACTGAAATTAGTTTGTGACCAATACAACCTACAAACTGTTGGACTTCTCATTTACATTATAGATTCAGTGAAGTTAAAATATGAAACATTAGATATCTACTCAGTAGCTGAAAAGTTAAATGCCCACCTTGAGGCCTGGAAGTATTATGCTTTTATCTCTGGTCAGATCGTATATATGCATTACTGAAGAGGCCTGATTTAAGTCGAAACCACTGCTTAATTCTTCTTAAATTTTCTAATCACTTTCCTAACAGATCTCACTTTATACTAATAACTAATTTTAATAAATATTAGTTACAATTAAGTATAGAAAATAACATACTTTTACTCGAAGATATGGTCCTTGTTTAATCAGTGTTTTACATGATTCAATAAGCTAGAAAACAGAAACGAAAGACGTTTAAAACAAAAAAAACCAACTATACAAAGTAAATATTTTTTTGTGAAGTGTTCAATTCAGTCAGTCAGCTACAACGTAGGACCAGGCACATATATGCATCGGTCCAAGTTGCCATACCTCATTAACACAACAAGATGAACACCGGATTCATAAAAGTAGTTAATTCGGTGGTGACAATATATAAAAGAAAGATTGCATATAAGGATATAGTACAGGAAGAAAGAATTAGTTGGTAGAAAGAAAGATATGAAGTGATGTTAATCACTTAGTTGAAGGGAAGACAAAGAGTGTATACACCGACACGATTGTAATCGATTCTGAACCATGTCACACATAGTCTCCAACCATTGGTTACGACAGTCACACAGACCCCAACCAAGTAGTCTGCATCTACCAACATGGGTCAGACTAGAAGTTAGTGACTTCAAGCACTGATGCCACGTTCTGGTTTGGCCACCCCTAACTTTCTTCTAGTCATCCCCAACACTAGTTACCATTGCGCATCGTGGTAATCGGTGTTCAGGCATACGCAACACGTGGCCCAATCATCTCAGTCGATGAAGATTCACAACCTCATCAAATGATTTACCGTCATCCCCTAATACCCTATGTCTAACCTCATTTTCACTTACCCAGTGATCCCAGCAGATGGGAGCAATATTTCTAAGACGTCTATGGTCAAATACTATTAAATTACAAGTATGCTCTACTCTCATTGATCACGTTTCACACCCATAAAGTAGAACAGAACGAACTTCTGCGCAGTATACTCGTCCTTTAATTGATAGACGGATATTTCTCCTTCGTCATAGGTGACATAATTTCGCAAAAGCCAAACGAGCTTTTCGAATCCATGCTGAGATTTTGTCAGACACCAACCCATTAAAGCTGATTAGACTTCCAAGATAAGTGAAGTTGTCAACGCGTTCGACTACTTCAAGCCCTATCCTTAGTTGATGTGTTGACACAGGCCAGTCCTGATGCAGTAACTTGCATTTAGAGTGGGAGAAGCGCATTCCAAACATTCTAGCATTGCTGCTTAGTGCTGCCAAAAGACTCGGCATTTTATTAGAGTCTTCACCAAACAGGACTGTATCATTTGCGTATTGTAACTCGATAAGTGGACCTCCTGGTAGGAGATCAATCCCCGAGAATTCAGTCGACAAGAATGTTATTTCCATAAGTATGTCTACGATGAAGTTAAACAAAAATGAATAAAGTAGATAGCCTTGACGGACACTACTTGAGATTGCAAAAGTAGGTGACAGTTCGCCATACGCTCTGACTCGACTAGTAGTGTTCGAGTAAAGAGCCTTCATAAAGTTTATGTACTTCTGAGGTACGCCTTTCAATGACAGACACTGCCACAAAATCTCGCGATCTATGGAGTCATTCAAGCATTATAAGATTTATTTCATAGAGGAAGGGGGGTAGCTAATTCTGAAGACACCTATTTTTTTCTTCAAATTTTTGTGGTATCAACAAGTAACCAATCCAAATGATTGTTGGTCAAATTGTCGGAAAATATTTTTTTATTTTATTTTATAATTAAACAAAAAAAGTTTACTTGAATTTCTAAGTGGTCATACTTTTATAGTTAATGGCTATAAACAACAAGATGAATTGAAATGATTGTCAATAATCAGTAATTGTATTCACATAACGTAATTTTCATAATTTGTATCATGGACTGTGATCTCAGTTATGGAAAAAATTAAAGGTCTAGGAATAACGAATAGCTGTTTAGTTCCAGTATGGAACTTCTTAACATTATCCTACTAAGGACCTTTGGATTTCATGGTATGCACCTAACCTTCATTATTTATTTGTATACATAAATATTGGTTCAAAGGAATACACAAGTCACTTGGTTTGTGCCTGGGCGCCCAACTCGAAACAGCTGCTTTTCTTAGGAGGCCACGCGCAGAGCCTTCGACCTAAAGGTCTGATCCACAAGTCAGTGGAGAATCGTTAGGAGATGCAGTCCCATAGAATCCAGTGACCAACAAATGGTTCATACGCCATTTGTTCCTTCAGGATCCTGAAGCCCATGTGCACCATTGGTTTGAAATGATGGTTTTCCAACTCCTCTAGGTAAACTCTGCATCCACCAACCCGGTCAAAGCGTCGGACATTCACTTTTCGTTCTTTCTCTTCTGGTGCGAGAAGGCAGTGAGCAGGACTTCCCTGTCAGTGGCTATATACGCGTGGTTATGTGGGAGCATTTCGAGATGAAGATATAACTCTCCCCACCCTCGACCGTACCAGGGCATTTAGGGGCACTTAATCTTCATACTACTAAGTATTCAGTACTTATATGTCTAACTCCAAACAGTTTACAACATCGTGTAACCATCTTTCAACACCCGATACTAAGTTCACTGGTTATTATCCGTCCGCTCTTAGAGAAATCATAATATATCTGATCAGTAATGCAAGTTGAATAGGAAGTAATTAATTCCACACTGCAGTTTTCAATGCTGTTTATAAACTGTCAATGAAGGTATTTCAATATGTTTATCGGAAAAAAAGTATTTTAAAAGAATTTATGTATATGGAAAAGTGATGAGTAACAATAAACAGTAGATTTTCAAAGGGCAATATGGGATTGTTATGTTTTTCTTTTATGAATTTTTCTTCTTAAATATCTAAATGATTTCAGTATATCTTCAATTCAACATATAACAAGGATAATATTACAATAATTGTGGAAGGAATTCTTTGGATTTTTTATATAATTCCGGTTCTGAATCTTCAATAGGATACAAGAAAATCAGGCTACCAATGTAACAAACTGATATGAACTGTCATATCACTATCTGGCTTTGCTTAAACAACCAATGGAAACCTAAAAGAATTGATGATTGGAAACTTCAAATGTAATAACATGATTTGGTCTAAGATCAATATCTTAACCTGCCTCCTAATAAAGTGAAAATTTCTTAATTTTGAACTCTGATTTCATTCTGGTTTATTGTTTGTACGGCTGTTAGATTTTTATACCTAAGTGTAACCAGCTAGTGATGGAAAAATTCCATTTATGAAACTTGGCTACTTATTTTACTTGAAAGTAGTGTGATTTGCTTATAAACTCTCAGCATGTTAGGAAATACAATAGAATAATTCCAAATATTTACCATGTAATTTTCATTTATTTTGTTTGAATTATCAAAGATAGAAAACACCCATATGTACTTAAAATCAGGAACGATGAAGTCAGAGACTGAAAATGTGTTCTCTATGAATATACAATTCATAGTTATATTTATCTCAACCCAGTTGACCAGTAATTCAATATTATTGGTGAGGATCCATTATAAATTCGGAATTGTTTGACTTTACAGGTCATACCCTATAAGAGTTTCTAAATATTCACCTTTGGCGAGAAGGATCCTAGACTTAGATAACATTTCTCATGTAATCAAAGTGAATAATAATAATAATCAATTACCTTCAGATATCTATCTACATAGTGAATGACTTAAAGCCCTATTGGAAAGACGTAATTCATGTCGTAAACTAGGTTATGGTTGTCACTGAGTATTCAAGCTGCTGATATTTAATGATATCCATACTATATTACGAGTAAACTAGAATTGAGAAGATGCATGAGCCTTGCTATTTTAATTCGTCCTCTTGAGTTCTGTTAGAGGTGTGAGGGCGATTATCACTTCCCGGTTACCCACATCGTGGAAGGGTTCTTCTGGAGGTACCTGAAAAGGAAATTGGATTAGAGGTGGTCTTGGTCACCTGAGAGCGTGACCGCAGTGCCCAAGGGACAACTGCTTGAGGTCGGTCACACACGACCTTTTTATGGGTGATTTTTGTGTTAGCTCCGTACTTATTGAGGCCTTACCGCCGGAGACGGATATCCGTGGGATAAGGCGAGGTGTGCATTTTTAGGGTCGGCCTTTTCTAACCCCACCCCTCCTTGTAGGAAGGCAGCATCGCTGTCATACTGGTTGTCTGAAGGAAACACCTTACTGCTGTCACACCTCTGTACAGTCAGCAGTACGACTTCGCCTTCGGACCTTGGGTTTGTTGCTTTTAGTCTTACCGCTCTTCAACCGACCTTTCTGACATGGTAGGACCTTGAGGAGCGGTTGTTCTAGGCAGTATAGTTCCGTTGCTTCATCACGGTGGGCAAGCCCGACCACGACGTCAGGGTAGCAACAACGGTCGAGTTTAATTCGTCCTAATTGTATCTTATAAACCATAGGAGGTAAAGCCGTGGAGTTGAATATCATAAATTTTCGTAGGTTTATACTTAGATTAAACATCTTTATTATGTTCATAAAAAACATACAATCATATACTTTAGTTATTTATGGTAAATTAAACTCATTTGTTTGCTGGGAGTCTAACGTGTGGATTCTGGCATTTAATAAATTAAAAGTAACTTACATTTTCGAACTCATTGACAGCTTTTTTCAATTTATCCAAACGTCCAACGGAAAAAGAAGAAATACTACTGCTACTTGAATGAATACTTGGTCGTCTTGCTATATTATTTGTCGAAGTAGTTGGTGAATGTTCCTGTACACTATGAGTACTACTATTACCATTGCCATGACAACCCATAACATCAATTGATAAAGCTGATGCTGAATCTTCATCAATTGATTTTGTGCTACTTTTTAAGCGTCTATTTAAAAATAGTCGAGGGGAAAGAATTAATGAAGGTGAACGATGTAATCCAGGCGCAGGAGAAAAACGTAATGAAGAATTACGGGTTAATGATGATCCAAGTGTACCATGATGAGATACTGGATCACCGAGTGTACTTAAACTTGGATAACCACTTAGCCCGGATCCAGAGAATGAATTTTGTAGCTCTAAATGAGGCATTTCATCTTCTGGTCTAATACGCATACGTACAGGCCACAGATCTGGTGATCCGAACGCTGTTGCAATACGTGTAGACAACGCTCGAATACATTGATTCATGGATAACGGTGTTGATGTTTCACCACACAGTCGTCTAAAATTATCGAAACTAGTGAGTACAGATGTTCGGAGTTCACACACTTGACGTAATGTTGTTGCCGTAGCCTAAAATTAGGAAAAAATAGGCGATAAAAATACTCAAATGTAAGTGAAATTAGCAAACATAGATTGTGGCTATCAGTGGAATATCATATCTGAGATTCGTCAGTTGGATGTACCTGCATATTAGTGTTGATATTCATACTCAGATTTGAGCTCAGTACATAATGCTTTAAACGACAACTCTTCACATACCAAGCTATTGAATGTAAGTGCTATTAACCTGTTCGTCGGGAAAACATAAACCCTTAAAAAGTAATTTCATACAATTTACTCCCGCAATAAATTTAAGCACAGAAAAAGTAAATTTTTGATGTCGTTACAAATAGCCTTATATCTGTTGAACGAATTAGTGGCTAAATTGAATCTATAGATTAGCGAATAGAACGTCATGGCTTGAAGTTAAAGCTGATGGATTCGAGTTTCCGTGTGAACAGTCAATCTAGGATCCAGGTTCATCCAGCTGACGCGTTATATATATGGCGGAACTAACGTGATGAATTCCATTGCTAATCACAACCCAAATATACTGAAACGTTTAACTGAGAAGTAATATCGCGAAACCCATACTGGAAGCACATATACCAATGTAGACTGATCAGTTGGGGCTTTGATATCAATGATGAGAAAGTGGGGACGAAACAAGCGTCTTGCCGTATAGGAGTATTTTAAAGGGAGATAAAAATGATGTACCCTAAGTTGTAACTAGAAGTTTTCGTAACTTTTCTCTACGTATTTAATGAATAGATTAGTTTTTGGTGGAGTTTTGTTCTCTGAGCTGGATGGTTTGGTCGTGGAGCTTTCATCGTTCTTCTGAACGACATCATCAGCACAAACTTCAGATAGAAGTGAAGTGTTTGAATTTCTCATATGTGTCTCAAAGCTTGTTCTGTGCACCTCGACACATATGGAGAAATTCAAACACTTCACTTCTATCTGAAGTTTGTGCTGATGATGTCGTTCAGAAGAACGATGAAAGCTCCACAACCAAACCATCCAGCTCAGAGAACAAAACTCCACCAAAATCATCCACCTGAGCTACAAATCTTCTCCACCATCTCGAATAGATTAGTAGTCCGAAATCTGTTAGTGGTGACAGCTGTAGTTACAATTTATAGTACTGTGACAAAGATAATGATAAGACTGCAACAATGTGTAGCTCAAGACTTGATTCTTTAAAATAATGTGCCCTGCTCCAATCCAGATGATTTGAAACAGTTGAGTGAAAGTCTTAAAGCCAATGTTTGTGCTAGTTACTAATTATTAGTGACGTATTTCTCCCATCTTTAGAGTAATCACAAATAACTCGTTAATTACCTCTCTGACAGTGACATAGATTTCAGTTGAACAGGAAACATAAGTTTCCTCAGTGCTGTAAGTATACCATACAGATAAACAATAAGTAATGCAACATTTAGATCCAGTACTTTTCGCTGATTGCTTTCAACTGTTAAAGTAACATTTTAGTTTTTACTTATCAGTTTAGTTGATCTATCAACAACAGTGGGCAATGAAATATGTTTATAATGAATTAAGTTGACCAATAAATATACTCTTTATGGTCATTAGTGATGATCCTGGTTCCAGTATTTTCATGGTTAATTCTTTCTAAAAACTAGCAAACGTTCATTGATATCGATATATCAATCTAAAAAAAACTTATTAAGGAAATAGAAAACGAATTTATTTGATAAAAAATATATAGTTACCTTGAATATTTCATCAAATGTGGAAACACCAACTTTTTTCAACTGTAATTGTCGACGATTACGTGAACGCCATCTATGAAGTAGACCAGTATTTGTTTCCTGTTTAATTAAGAAAGAGAATAACACTTAAAGTTTTGAATTTGTTTATTATTCTGTTTTGAGTTTATCAAGTGCAAGTGATCTTTATTAATCAATGACACATAAAAAGCGGTTCATTACCAGTTATCAAAATTATTTGTTCTACTGATGGATAGTGGCTAGCAGTGGAATACAGGACGCACGTTTCGTCCTATTTGGGACTCGTCAGCTGGATGTACCTGCACCTCAGAGTTTATGTTCACTCTGGAGCTCGAACTCAGTACCATTCGCTTCAAACGCCATCGCGTTATCCACTCAGCTACTGAGTCCTGATAGCCACTTGATTGTGCAATGGGATCCTATTAATAGGACGAAACGCGCGTCAAATTGGATTCTACTGCTAGCCACTATCTATCATTGCCTACAAATAGCTTGTGAATTCAGACAATATCGAGGCATACGCACAGTATGCACATATGCCAATAACAGACTGATCAATTGCAGTCTTAAATCTCAATGGGAAGATACAAGCCAAACAATACCAAATGAATTCATTTGTTCTACTGATAAAAATCAGCGGATTTATGACGGAAATCAAGAATTTGTGTTGATAATACACGAATCGAAGACAAACATAATTGCTACCGTGAAACCATAAACTTGTTGAATCACAGAATATTAAAAGTGAAAAATATGACTTGGGAGAAATAAATTGTTATGGAATGATGATATTACTACTGATATACATTATTAAGTAATATAAAATCGCAGCAAAAAAGGTGATAATAGTTGGTTGAATAATAGAATGAATTGCCTGTCAAAGTTACGCTTGTGTTGTGTTTAGCGACGTGAATCAAAATCTGGAGTCGAAAATTGTCAACCATACTGACAACTGACCTAAAATATTGATTGTTATTTCCATTGCTTCTTATTGATTACACAAAATGAAAATTAGAATAGTGATGATGTAATTAATCCATTAGACATCAACTACTTAATTTTCAGTTCAAAAAACCCGCCCGATCTATCTACTTTTATTTAGTGATTTCAAAATAGAACGCACTAAAGTCACTGTAGGGAAATGTCGAATGAGTAAATTTTGGCTTGACTATAGAATGAGACTAACTTATTAAAATTTGTAAGAAAAGGTATTTGGATAATGGTTATCAGTAGAGTAATAAGTTCTAAATATGGCATAACACATGTATCCTGTGTTCCCACTACTAAGTAATAACAAAAATATTTGAAGAAAATTCATTTCGATAATCGACAGTGAGTAGATATACCCTAACGAATAGTAATGACGAATTACTTCCGTTGTCGGATAATGAAATAAACTAGCAAAAACAAGATCTGTGCCAGTTTGAAATGTCCCAGATTTTGACTAGAAGTTGGTTACGAAAAAATTAAAACAAATTAGACAATGTATCACGAAATTACATTTGTAATTTTTAAGGAAATTATCCTTTCCATAGGATTCAAATCAACATCAATTAATGTTACAATTAGAGACGTTGCAAGTCCGCCTGGAGCCCCTCCGTGGGATACTGCCGGTCCCAAGCCCGGATAAAGGAGGAGGATTGGGCATGGGGTTAGCGTTCCCATCCCGTAGAAAACTAACTCGCTAAAAAAACGCTAACCAGAAAAAATTATTCAAACCTTTTAAACTCTGCCCTGGGAGTCAGAAGGTCTTCATTTAGAAGAATTATGACGCCTCATGATGAAAGCCGAATTCCTTCGGAAGTTACGAGGCCGATGCCCCTTCTGACAACCAGAGCAACCAGTACATGGAATGTTCGTACAATGTGGGACACCGGGAGAGCCTTCCAAATTGCTGCAGAAATGAGAAGATACAACCTAGAGGTACTTGGGATCAGTGAAACACATTGGACACAAGTTGGACAACAACGACTAACTACAGGAGAGCTCCTGTTATACTCCGGCCATGAAGAAGAAAATGCACCACATACACAAGGAGTTGCATTGATGCTGTCCAAACAAGCGCAAAATGCACTTATAGGATGGGAATCTCATGGACCAAGGATCATCAAAGCCTCGTTCAAAACAAAGAAAGAGGGCATTTCAATGAACATCATCCAATGCTATGCGCCTACCAACGACTACAATGAAGACGCTAAAGATCAATTCTACAATAGGCTGCAGTCAATCGTCGAGAAGTGCCCAACAAAGGACCTGACTATTCTGATGGGAGATTTCAACGCCAAGGTTGGAACGGACAACACTGGATATGAAGACATCATGGGACGACACGGACTGGGAGAAAGAAACGAAAATGGTGAGAGATTTGCAAATCTATGTGCCTTCAATAAGCTGGTCATAGGCGGCACCATATTCCCACATAAACGCATACACAAAACCACATGGACTTCACCGGATCACACCACCAAAACCAAATCGACCATATTTGCATCAACAAAACGTTCAGGAGGACTATAGAGGACGTGAGAACCAAGAGAGGAGCTGATATAGCATCAGATCATCACTTGCTGGTCGCCAAGATGAAATTGAAACTCAAGAAGCACTGGACAACGGGGCGGACAATATCACAAAAGTTCAATACGGCCTTTCTTCAGGATACTAACAAACTCAACAAATTCAAGATAGTCCTCAGCAACAAGTTCCAGGCCTTTCATGATCTACTCAATGGAGAAGGAACTACTGTGGAGAGCAACTGGAAGGGGATCAAAGAGGCAATCACTTCAACATGTCATGAGGTCCTGGGTCACAAGAAGCACCATCACAAGGAATGGATCACTGTTGATACACTGGATAAGATTCAAGAAAGAAGGAACAAGAAGGCAGCAATCAATACCAGTCGAACAAGAGCAGAAAAAGCCAAGGCACAAGCTGAATACACAGAAGTAAACAAACAAGTGAAGAGGAGCATCAGAACCGACAAACGTAAATATGTGGAAGATTTAGCAACGACGGCGGAAAAGGCTGCAAGAGAAGGAAACATGAGACAACTGTATGACACGACAAAGAAACTCTCTGGAAATCGCCGCAAACCAGAACGACCAGTGAAAAGCAAGGAAGGCAAGGTAATCACCAACATTGAAGAGCAGCAAAACAGGTGGGTAGAACACTTCAAAGAACTCTTGAATCGACCAGCTCCACTGAACCCACCCAACATCGAAGCAGCACCCACGGACCTCCCAATCAATGTTGGCCCACCAACAATTGAAGAAATCAGCATGGCCATCAGACAAATCAAGAGTGGCAAAGCAGCAGGACCGGACAACATCCAGCAGAGGCACTAAAAGCAGACGTAGCGGCAACTGCAAGGATACTCCACATTCTCTTCAATAAGATTTGGGATGAGGAACAAGTACCAACAGACTGGAAAGAAGGACTTCTGATCAAAATACCGAAGAAAGGCGATCTCAGCAAGTGTGATAACTACAGGGGCATCACTCTTCTCTCAATACCGGGAAAAGTCTTCAACAGGGTATTGTTAAACAGGATGAAGGACTGCGTAGACGCCCAACTTCGTGACCAACAGGCAGGATTCCGTAAGGATAGATCGTGTACAGACCAAATCGCAACTCTACGGATCATTGTGGAACAATCAATTGAATGGAATTCATCACTCTACATCAACTTCATTGACTACGAAAAGGCATTTGATAGCGTGGACAGAACAACACTATGGAAACTTCTTCGACACTACGGCGTGCCTCAGAAGATAGTCAATATCATACAGAATTCCTATGATGGATTAAACTGCAAAACCGTGCATGGAGGACAATTGACAGACTCGTTTGAGGTAAAAACAGGTGTCAGGCAAGGCTGCTCATTCTCATCCTTTTTCTTTCTCCTGATGATCGATTGGATCATGGCTCTCCTATCGTAAACGCAACAACGAATGCAGGAGAAGACAACCAGGGTAGCAGGAGTTTCATCAGCAGTAGATCTCAACATATGCAAAGGGAAAAGCAAGATTCTCCGAAACAACACAGCAGGCACCAATCGAATCACAATTGACGGGAAGATTTGGAAGATGTAAAAACCTTCACATATCTGCGCAGCATCATTGATGAACACGGTGGTTCTGATGCAGATGTGAAGGAGTGGATTGGCAAAGCAAGAGCAGCATATTTACAACTGAAGAACATCTGGAAGTCAAAACAACTGTCAATCAATACCAACGTCAGAATTTTCAATACAAATGTCAAGACAGTTCTACTGTATGTGACACAAACTTGAACAACTACGAAAACCATCATCCAGAAGATACAGGTGTTTATTAACAGTTGTCTACGCAAAAAGCAACCTACTATGGGAGAGAACAAACCAGATCTCAGTGGAGGAAGAATCGCTGGAAGTGGATAGAACACACATTGAGGAAATCACCCAACTGCGTCACAAGACAAGCTCAACATGGAATCTCAAGGCCAAAGGAGAAGAGGAATACCAAAGAACACATAACTCCGAGAAATGGAGATAGACATGAGAAAAATGAACAAGAATTGGATGGAACTAGAAAAAAAGTCGGAGGACAGAGTGGTTGGAGAATGCTGGTCGGCGGCCAAATACTCCATTGGGAGTAACAGGCGTAAGTAAGTAAAAAAAGTAGAGACGTTGCCACTAAGCTATTTGGACTACTACTGACTTCATCTAGAATTGAGATATTTACAGTTGGTTAATCAGTGAGTTGTTTCAAATTTCTTGTCTATTTAGTCCTTAGTACTAATTGAATCCTAGACATTGATTAAATATAAAAGTGATGAATATATCCAAATTGCCGAAACGTAATTAAATAACGTGAGAGACATTCGAACTAACTACTTACTGGGTTAAATGTCGAATATTGTAACCACTAAATTATCAATGTGCAGGAAGTAATTTAATTTAAATAAACACCAACAAAACGCTGATTAACTACAGTTCTAAACAACAATCAGAAGATACAAGTAAAACAACGCCAAGTGAATTTAAACGTCACCCAATTGCACAAGTAGGTGGCTATCAGGACTCAGTAGATAAGTGGAGAACACGATAGCGTTTGAAGCCAACGATACTGGGTTAAATTCCCAGAGTGAGCATCAACTCTGACACGCAGGTATAGTGAATAAGAACATGAGTGGGGATAATCGAACGTACTTGGCACGGAATTACAGAGAATCTCACTAAAATCTGAGAACCATATAGTAAATCGTTAATTTGCAAAATATCAATCCATCATCTCAAACTTCACTGTTCCGTTTGCAAATATTAGTCGATTGTCTCGAATTTCATTGTTCATGCCTTTTCATACCAATTGCGCTCATTTCCTTTCCCTATCGATCTTCCACTGAAATACATTCTATGCCTGACCACAGTTATATACTACTTATAAGGATTTAAGCCTTTAACTAGTGAAATTAGAAGCTGTCCATAGTTCTTATAAAGTATAGTTATTTACTACAATAAAACAGAGGATACACGTAGATTATCATAATTATCTCGTTCCCACAACATCGTATGAATATTTATCTATCTCGGTCATAAACACAATTTTGTTTATAAAAAAATAATAAAAAGAGTTTTGAAAACAGATTCCCTTATCTTCAACATTTTGTTGTTTTTTATGTGGTTTGCATCACAAACAGATTTTAGGTAGATAATTATTGAAAGACAGGAGGCACTAGATCAATGTTTCATCTTAGCAGAAGATTTCTTAAAAGTGCTCATCCATGATCCTATATGGGGTTGAATCTAGAACCTTTAAACCTTGTCGCAAACGTTTAGTCTTTAGATAACTAAGTCGACAATCAATGATTTAAGTGTGTAACTTCAGTCGATTTGCGATACTGAGAAAATTTCTTCCATTGTTAGTGGTGGGTAACTATTTCATGTCCTACATGATTCAATTCCAACGGTTACAGCTTCTCATTGGAGCTTTTCATAATTTTATTTGTCATCGCGGTATAAATCTGACTGTGGTTTGTTCAAATTAATAGGGAGCATTGATTTGTTTAAGATTGCACGTATGACTCTCTGATAAGTGCCAGCCAACACAAAATCTAGGTCTAGAGTCTGTGACTAATGCATGTCTTATGGAATTTGAGTCATAAAATATACACAGTAAATAGTCTGACTATTTTTGTATTCTGATTGGACAGGCTAGAATCGAGGAAGTCAGGTAGGACAATCACAGCACTTAATGTTATGAATGTAACATTTTTTTTCAAAGCAGCATATAAAAAATTTCCAAAGCTTTTAACTTGTCAATAGTTATTGAACTAATATTAGTTTGTCAAAAGAACTATGTTTAAGAATGTAATAAATCCTCAAAAATCACACAATTTAATCAACTACATCTAACCGGCTATCTTCTTTTTGGTTGAGATCATGAACTGATTGATATTAGGCAACCATTGAAAACCTGGAATCACTGGGCGGCCATTTCGTCCGACTGTGGGACTCCTCAGCAGTGTGCATCCACGATCTCGCTCTAGGGATTCGAACCCAGGGCCTTCAATCCCGCGCTTAACCTCTAGACCACTGAGTCGGCATCCACAGTGTTAATGTCTAGCCTCAACCAATCCATGAAATTACGCGACCATCTCCCATTGCGCTGAGGCAGATACCTTTCTCTGCCCGACACGCTTAGCTCAACTGGTCGCAGATTCTCACTAGAACTCCGAGAATTCCCTCAAGAAGCTAGTCACTTGTGAGCACATAGTAATTATCAGTATAGGGTTGTAGAGATTGTTGAGTTTTTGATTGAGATCATGAATTGATTGATGTTAGATCACCATTGGAAACCTGGAAGCACTAGACGGCCATTTCGTCATATTGTGGGACTCCTCAGAAGTATGCATCCACGATCCTGCCCTCGGGATTCGAACCAGGATCTTCAATCCCGCGCGCGAACGCCTAACCTCTAGAATACTGAGTCGGTATCCAACAGTGTTATTGTCTAACCTCAACCAATTCATGATCTCAATCAAAAACTTTATAATCTCCACAACCCTATACTGATATCTTCTTTTTGTTCATTTCATTATATAAAAAGTACCATTGGAAATAGTAATATTATTAATAATTTTTTTCCCTTACCCCATGTGAATTATCTGTTCCAGTTGTAATGGTAATGTGTACAAATAAAGTAGCAAGTGGAATTGGCTCACCAGTATCACTTCGTAAACGGACATGTCGAAAACCTAAAACAGAGAAATTTTTTATAAGAAAAGGTAAAGAAAAAAATGATTACAATTATTCGAATACTTTACATACTTATCTGATTTATGAGTGTGTGTATGTGTGAATGTGAGTGTGTATTTGTGTTACCAATTACTGATGTTTCACTATGATTAGTTACTATCTCCGTAACTAATTTCTTTGAAAATGAAATCAACATAGTAATGCTTATAACACTGTGCCGTAATTGATTTTACTCTAATTTCATATTATTATAAAGTGAAGTTTATAGTTCCTTCAACCTCACTAAAAGACAAGTAAGCAAGTGTAATAGCAACCCATCAACTAACTAGTATTGGATTAAGTGCAGCTAGCCAAATAATTTGTAAATATTATATAAAATCAAATAGAAAGTAAATAATGTAAGATCATTTTATGGAAATGTTGCTTTGGAAATGGTCTTCAATATCAAAGATGATCTAATAATGTAAGAAATTTCAAGAATTTGATTACATTCAATTCACAATATTAAGCAACCAGACAGTTCGGTTGGAATTCGCTAAGAAATATTGTATTTACATTTCCGCATTCAAGAATGAATCTTCTTCATGATGTTTTCAATATTTCAAATTGTTCGAACTCAAGTTAACCTCAATAACTATCCTATTTCCCTTTGATGTTAAGGCAAATAAATAACAGACCTGTACTACTTAAAAAAAAACACACAATCTGGATCAATGCTTTTACATATGAAACATCAAGTGATTTCTGTCTGTCAGTGACAGAGGATAGTCATCAGGAAAATTATGCACCAACATAGGAACAAAAATCAAACCAATGGGAGATACAACCAAACAAAGAAGTAAACAATGACAGGTTTAAGGTCAATAAGAATCAATCAACATCGAGGTCTACAGGACAGGTTGTGAATGGCATATGCAGAAATTCGAACACTTCACTTCCTTTTTGAAGTTTCTGCTGATGATGTCGCTCAGAAGAACAATGAAAGCTCCACAACCAAACCATCTATCTCAGAGAACAAAACTTCATCAAAAACAGAGGATAGTCGCTTGGCTACAATTCATATCCGCTAATACTGATTAGTATTTAATAAAAGATTAATTTATATAGTAATATATTTCTCTATGATTGTTATATCCGAGCGAAGGTTAAGACATGAGTAAATTCTGAGATATATTAATTGACTAATATTATCTATACATTTTTATGGTATAGCTATTCAATAATTAGATTATGTATATTTATATTCCCCTTATTATAAGCTTCATTTTGACCCATAATTTATTATTGTACGATTTACTGTTCTTAAGCTATGTTCAGTTTGTTTACTACGGCCTCCCACGTTCAGTCATTTTTTGGCTTTATTCTGTACAAATGTTATTTCCTATTTTATGGTGCGTTGCGGTCTGTTTGTTTGATATATAAACCCAGTATGTCTGAAATAAATGATTCGATTCGATTCGCATAGTGAGAGCTGGTATTCGGTGTTCTGGACTCAAGTGGACGGGCTAGGCGGACATAGGACCAATAAAGACGTTAGACTGTCCATACCGGTCGAACGTCATTGGTTCGGTACAGTGCTAAGAATGTATAGGTCGTATTTTGATTGGTGGGTGAATCATGTGATAAAAAGCCGGACATAAAGTCATAACAACGATAACATTACTAACAAAGTATTACATTCAAGTACTTTATACACACCACGCTACTGAATTACAGTTTATTCAAGTAATGAATCACGAATAAAATAGCAATTTTGAAATGATGATTATAATTTGTAGTTGAAGAGAGCAACTTCATTGAAATCATTTTCCCTGTGGTTAGTAGCTTAGACATGAAACTGTTACCATGTTTCTAGATAACACCATCGTCATCATGAATTGGTTATGGAAGTTTCTATCTTATGTTTAAGTAGATGATGTTATCTAGCAAGATAAATGAAGAAGTTTTATAACTAAACTATTTAGCACCGAAAAATCGATTTCATCAAAACTATCAATGCTTACATAATCTGAAATATTACATACCATAGTATTTTGTATTCTCTAAAATAATTTTTTACTTTATTCTTATAAGCAAGAGATTTTTAACAGTTGAGATCATGAGTCAATTGAAGCTAGAACACCATAGAAAACCTGGAAGCACTGGACGGCTGTTTCGTCCTATTGTAAGACTCCTCAGAAGTGCTCATCCACGACCCCACCTTGCGGGATTCGAACTCAGGACCTATCAGTCCTGTTCAAGCACAGTTATGAGAAAAGAAAACTCTGTAAAACGAAGTTGATTAAACGAAACACTTCAGAAGCATAAATGTATGTGAGGAGAAAGAATTACATTGAAGAAAGTGAACATCGTTGTCACCTGGATATACACTGTCTGGCAGTGAAACAGTATGGTATCAATTAATAAAGGCAACCACTTAGATTTATTTGACTGGTAAAACTCTAAAATTTCAAGTTGATGAAACTTTAGAAAATTCACAAACTGTTCAAAATGTGACATTCAAATCAACATAAAAGAGTTTAGAAGCCAACGTATTGACACACATTCAATATATCAGTTTATATAAAAGGGATCAGTCAATCAAATGATCAGAAATGAACTAAGCAAAACAGTTAACAAGAAGAACAAATGAAGACAAAAAATTCTATCAAGACAAATAGCTACAAACTAGATGACCAAAATTTTTCTTATATATGAGGTAGAGGCTAATTATTTGTTCAGGATATCAGTTATAGCTTTGCTATCTAATCATTTACCTCAGAGAATACAACTTTTGCCTCCCTCCCACCCCCACCAAAGTACTTGGTTACAAATCTACTTAATAGTTTAAATACAATAAATTCGTAGGTTTCTTGTTACCAATTATATATAATTTAATAGTTGAATTCATGAGTCAGTTAAAGCTAGATCACCACGGAAAACCTGGAAGCCCTGGACAGCCGTTTCGTCCTAGTATGGGACACCTTAGTAGTGCACATCTACGATCCCGCCTTGCGAGATTCCTACGCAGGACCTATCTGTCCCGAGTGTGATTGCTTAACCTCTAGACCACAGAGCCAACACCCAATGGGGTTAATGTGTAATTTCAACCAAACCACGAAATAAAGGAGTCTCATACTAGGATGAAACGGCCGTCCAGTTCTTCCAGGTTACCCATGATAATCTAGCTTTAATTGACTCATGAATTCAACGATTAAATGACTAGATCTCCACAAACACCCTTTCTGATCATTATATACAAGCTGAATGTAATTAGAATGCGACTGATGTGTGTTTAATCAACTACAAATAAATATACCTTATCTACATAAATCCTTTAATTGTATGGTATTCCTCTCTAATCTATTGTAAACAAAACCACTAGCATTTACACAAAATGATGATAAACGGAATTATTCACATGTTTATTGATAAGAGAAAGCAACAACAAAAAGTGATGATACTTTCAAAATTGAAAGAATGTTTAGAAATCTATGGGAAGTTGACATGAATGGGGGGGGGGAAGAAGGAATAGTGAAGGTAAAACAAAAATAAATCCACAGTCATATGAATATGATTTTCTTATCTCTAAGGTATGAGAAATAATCATAATGGTTACAACATATTAGCAAAAAAATATAAACAAAATCTAATGATGAAAACAATTATGAAATAAATAAATAGATAAAATCATAAGTAATTAAGATATAGAATAAGATAAAAGAATAAAGAAAATGGTCGTCTGTCAGTCAGTCAGTCAGTAACAACGTAGAACTTCGTACGTACGTACATAAGTGTAAGTTGTTATACCACATTAGCACAGAGATGCGGTTATCGAATCAGAACCCATAGTGGTAGAAGTGGTAAGAGTATAAGCAGAAATCTGAAAGATTAGGGTTTGAAGATGTTATTCAAAGAGTATAATCCAGTGAAATAAATTTGGAAAGAGGAAAAAAGAAAGGGACATGAAGAATTCAGAAGGTTAGAATTTGAGAGAACACAAAGAGTGGATGCACCAGCGCCATTGCAAACGATGTTGAGCCATATCATTCAAGGTCTCTAACCATCAGTTGCTATCATCTTGCGGTCCCCAACCAGGTAGTTTACACCTACCGACATAACTCAGACCACTTGTCAGTGACTTCATGGACTTGTGCCATGTTTTGGTTTGGCCGTCCCTAGATTTCTTCCAATCTACTCTTACACCATAAAACATCGCACATCGGTGGTTGGGCCTATGTAAAACGTGTCCGAGCCATCTCAACTGATGAAGTTTCACTACTTCATCAATTGATTTGCTATCCCTACCTAGTGCCCGTTTTCTAACAACTGCGTTACTTATCCGGTGCTCCCAGGATATACGAGCAATGCTTCAAAGACACCTATGATTAGTAATATTTGGTTTTATAATAAATATTTTTTTTCGTTATATTCTAATGAATAGAAAAAAGTGTATTTCTGACGTTCCGTGACTTAATATAAGCTACTTCTTCGGGAAACAATCATTGTTTTTCTTTTGTACTATTTGAACTTGTGTTAATTTAATGTTCGTTTATTTATTTACATTGAAAAAATGGCTTACGTTAAGTCATGAAACATTAGAAATACAAGTTTTCTACTCATTGGGATAATTAGAGCACAATTTATTTGAAACCATCAAGTTTAACCTTGGGTGTTGATACCTATTTGACTTTATATATTTTTTGCTTTTTATGAAATTTTACATTTCACTGGTTGAAATCATGAGTCAGTTGAAGCTAGACCACCATTGAAAACCTGGAAGCACTGGACGGCCGTTTCGTCCTAGTATAAGACTCCTCGGCAGTGCTCATCCACGATCCCGCACCCCGCGAGATTCGAACCAGGACCTATCGGTCTCGCGTCAGGCGCTTAACCAACTAGACCACTGAGCCGGCATCTAACGGTGTTAGTGTCTAACTTCAACCAATCCACGAAGTCGCGCCACCATATACCATTGTCTTCAGTGAGCTGATATCTCACAACAGACCTGGTTGAACTCCACTGGTAACGACTTCTCACTAGAACTCCAGGATTAACTCTTGAAGTCAGTCACTAGTGAGCAGGTGATCACTTGATCCCTTTTGTAGTAATAATCAGTGTCTTTGTTTTTGTCTAATTCATAACAGTAGTAGGATTCTATGAATTAAAAACGTAAAATGGTTATACTTTATTAAGTGATTCAATAAAAATGAGTATGATTTGTTAGGTGGTTGGAGATAATTAGTAGGAAAGCTTAAATTTAGGTTTCGTGCTAATTGCTGCTTGTCAAAAAGGCATATCTACAATCTTGCAGGAAGTGATGGCTCCTGAGGGATACGAACATGGTTTATCTAACTTAACAGCCTGATATGTTACCAGTGAGTTATTCTGACTGCCGCTGATTTTTGATTTGCTTTGTTCAAATGTTAGATATTTCTACAAGTAATCAACAGTGAAGTCATAGAACAGAGTTATCTAGTGGCTAGCACTCACTGACAAGATGTATTCTATGAATCTTATAAAAATTGGAACCAAGGTAGCATAAAACTAAGGTTCAAGTTGTTGAATTAATCATTTTTAACACTTTAGCAACAGAACGTAATAATCAGACCACAATTTGGTTGATGAAGTTCGATAAGCGCTCAAGATTAGATAGTATGATATTGATTATTAAAAAAATGATAAGTTAATAAAGTGATTTCAGGTCGATAGTTGGTCAAACATGACCAAAAGAGTTTATTATTTGTGTTGAACTATCGCAGATACTCGACTCTATATATCAACATCAATCCTATCAAGATTGCAAGTACACTCTGCAGAAGATTATTTTGGCTGCCGGAAAATCTGAAGTTTAGAGTATTTGATACAACTTATTTATTTATTTTAACACATAGATATTGGTATAAGGAGGCACCAAATACATATGAGCCACACAAATCTCATTCGATATGTGTGAGGGCTGTCATACTGCCCGGGTGCCCAAACTGAAGCGGGTGGTTTTCTTAGGGGGCCACACCCCGAGCCTTCGACCTGAAGGTCTGGTCCACAAGGCAGTGGAGCATCGTAAGGAGATGCAGTCCTATGGAAGCCGGTGACCAACAATTGGTTCATACGCCATTTGTTTATTTAGGATACTGGAGCCAGCCCATGTGCACCATTGGTTTGGAATCCGGTTAAAGCGCCGGACATTCGCTTTTCGTGCTCTCGTTTCCGTAAACAACAGTAATACCACGAGAAGGCAGTGAGTAGGACTTCCCTGGCAGAGGCTATATACGCGTGGTCATGTGAGAACATTTTGAGTGGGCGAGCGGACTCTCCCCACTCTCGGTCGTACCAGGGCATTTGGGGGTAGTCGCCGGCATTTAATACAACTAAGGCAAAAAATAATTCTTGGGAAGCAGTTGCTTGGTTTTTGAGATATTTCTTCAACTAACTTAACTCTGTTATCATAATCTCATGAAAATATTCACAAATATAGTTTAAGATGTGAAAATTGGAAAATTCTTCAATTACCTGTAAGTAAACAATCAAATGGTACTGTATTTTGTCCTATAAAATCATCACCAATTGCATGATCATCTAGTACGACAAAGCGTACTAATGCCAGACTACCCAACTGTACACAAAATTCAAAGGTATCCTCAAATATTGCATTATAACCGGATGCACTACCAGCTGGTGCGGTGACAGTACGTTGTTCAGCGCAGTCCACTGGAATACCATGAATTTCTACCACAACATATGGTTCAATTGTATCCCCTTTTGAAACTGATCCCTCGGCTTCGGTAGTTGTTGTGCACTGACAATTTTCAGTCGAAGTACCTAGATAAAATATTTTAGTGTAACCGAAAATAATATTTTATTATTTCATTTTAAATAACTTGTAATAATTAGCTCTATCTGCAGGTGGATTTTGTTATGACTCAACACTGGAAATCAGGGAGCACAGTGAATAGCTGTTACTTCGTATAATGTAAATGCTCCGCAGTGTATACGGATGACCTCATCAAATAAAGAAACTAATGCCGTCCTATCATATGCTTAAATTTTGGACTGGTGAATTGGAATCCGATGGGGCATTGAGTCGTTCCACGGTATCGTATGTCAATCATTCAGTGACTCGGTGATAAACTTTATACTTATAAAATTCGTTGAATAACAGTAAAGAACCAAATAGTTATGCTTAGGTGGAAGTCTGGTTAAATCATAGTTATTTATCAAGGCTTGTGACCAGCTGGAGTATCTGGAGATCCTGAGTTTTATTCCTAGAGAAATTGTGGGTGCTCACTAATGCAAAGTCATATTATGGGATAAGATAGTTAACATATGCTCCCTGGTATCCCTACTGAGACTCATCAGTGACGTTCATCATTTAAAAATTACAGTAATTGCTCATTAAAGATTTCATCATTCCATCTTCATTTAATAGATCAATGGATTGATTACAAAATACGGTATTCTATAACCATTTTTGTTTTGAATGAATTTTGATCGCTTTTACTTTCATGTTTAGTATTTCCCGTACAAATTTATCATTTCATTTCATAAAATAACTATTCTTCTTGATCACTTGTCCACTCACTAAAAAGGGGAAGGCACTATGAGTCAATCATCAGATTTGTACACCATTGGATCACGGCATAGGAGACTACAGGTTAAGCATTTTTGTGCAAGATTGAAGGTTCCGAGTTAGATTCCTGTTTTCACGATAGATCGTGGATGTTCACTACTGTGAAATTTCATACTAAAACATTTGGTTTACATAGGCATTCATTACTTGATTATACAATTCATAATATCAATCTAGCCAATCTATTGTGTATCTTAAGCACACAATTATATTATTTTCCTACATTTTTAGCAATCCATTCATTTAGAATGTTGAACAATTGACTTCTAATGAGGAAAGTAATCGTTTCAAAAATGGTATTTAATGAATTAAATCATTATAATAAGCAGTATTTTAGAAGTGTCATGCCCGGCAAGAATAATAAATGGTAATTTTTGGGATCCATTTATAGACCAATACTAAACGTATATTTCTATTGGATAATTATTAAATAACTGAACTATGCATATTCATATTTCTCTTATCATAAGCTTTATTTTGACCCATAAACTATTTCAATGGTTAAGATCATGAGCCAGTTGAAGCTAGACTATCATGGAAAGCCTGGAAGCACTGGACGGCCGTTTCGTCCTATTGTGGGACTCCTCAGCACTGCTCATTCACGACCTCGCCCCTGAGAGATTCGAGCCCAGGACCTACTGGTTTCGCGCGCGAGCACTTAACCACCACTTACCATAAACTATTATTATACGTTTTACCATTCTTAAGTTATACCCAGTATATTAATTACTACCTCCCCCATTCACAGCCACATCTGGCTAATTCTTGTACAAATGTTGTTTCATATTCTATTGGTACGTTATGGTCTGTTTGATTGGTATATAAGCAGAGCATGTCTGAAATATAATGATTCATATCGTAGAGGCTGAGACTTGCGTTTTGGACTCAACTGACTGGGCTAGGCAGGAAGCATGGCCAATCAAAACTCTAAGCTGCTCATAAGTCACTGCCCTCTAATCAGCAATCATAAGTTATAACAAGAAGTTTATAAATAATCAAAATAAATTAATAATAGAATACCTGTGGTGTAGTATCTGGTGGTCTTTCAGTAATATTTAATAAATTTGATTTATATGGTGTAAAAAATGATGAAAATTGACGATATAAATTTGGTTTTAATACATAACCACAAGCACCATTACGTGCAAAAAATCCAGTAGCTAAATCCATAATTAAACCAGCTGTTTGATAATTTAATGTTACAATTTGTCCACCCCATGCCCATATATCTAATGGATTTAAATTACTACTATCAGCTCTAGATAAACTTGGACAAATTTGTATTAATGAATTTCTAGTTAATTGTACTAAATCCCCAGCATTACTACCAATTGCACGAGATGCTTCTGATTCAGACATAATTATTATATAATATGGATGTAAATGTATATTATCTTGATTATATTGTTTATTAGTAGTATTATTATCATTAGTAGTAGTATTGTTCATATTAATTTTATTATAATGACTTGTAATACTTTTCATATTTATATTACGTTTATCTTTTAAATTAGAATGATCATATAAATCTAATTTAGCTTTAGATTGATATTGAAAATTTTTTAGAATCATTTTAGGTTGTTGATGATGATGATGATTAGTTTCTGTATATGTACTACCAACAATAACAACTGGTGATGTGGATGAATTATTATGTGTAGTATTAGGTGAATGATCATGTTTGACATCTCTTTTTAATCCATGAGATGTTGATAGCGTTGAAAATGATGACATTGTACGATTCATATTAAGTGATATATTAGCTAAAATAAAGAAGAATAGAATAATGGTATATGAAATGTTTAAAGATTGTTCAATCTTGTTCTATTTCAAATTGTTTGTAATGTAAACCGTAAACTGAAGAGTCTTTTGTAAGCAATGATGGATAGTGGCTAGCAGTGGAATCCAGGACGCGCGTTTCAACCTGTTTGGGACTCGTCAGATGGATGTACCGGCATCTCATAGAGTTGATGTTCACTCCGGAACTCGAACTCAGTACCATTCGCTTCAAACGCCATCGCGTTATCCACTCAGCTACTGAGTCCTCAGTAGGACGTCCCAAATAGGACGAAACGCGCGTCAAACTGAATTCCACTGCTAGCCACTATCCATCATTGCTTACAAAAAGCTTATGAATTAAGACAATATCGAGCCATATGCACAGTATGTACATATGCCAATAACAAACTGATCAATTGCAGTCTTAAACCTCAATGGGAAGACACAAGCCAAACAATACCAAGTGAAGAATCTTTTGTTTATAACAATCATGAACTTATTACTAACTTATTTTGAAAGGAATTCTTATAGTATTAGCGGAAAGCTCTTACCGATAGTGCTATATCTAGAAATTAGATTCTTCATTTGCCGTGTATAACTTGAGCACTTGAACACTAGAACCCTCGCAAGTCACAAATGAAAGTGAAAGGAATGTTATTCAAAACAGTGTCAGTTATGGTACAAAACTATCAAGTGTTTACATTTTTTAGTAAAAATGAAATCATCATTATAGTTATCCAATCCGCACACAGCAGGATTATTAACATTTGTTCAATATTGAAGATACATGTGGGAATTCGGGAATATTCTTCTAAAAGATGATTAAATGGAATATCTTCTGCTCTTTCTAAGCTTCTTAGAGCTTCCTTGAGTTCACCCATGGACCGTCCTCACATATAGAACTCAACTAATTCAGATGGTAGTTTCGCATCATTGGCCTTTCGATCAGGAACATATATCAATTATCTAAATCTGTGGTTCCTCATGTACTAAACAGAATTACCATAGCAACAGCCAGATTGTACTTCACTGATATACTCATTAGTAGGGTAAAACTAACTTGTCTCACGACGGTCTAAACCCAGCTCATGTTCCCTATTAGTGAATGAACAATCGAACGCTTCACAATGTTGTAATCAGCAAGTGATGAACGACAGTTGTTCAATCCTTCTAATAGTCAGAAGTTAAAAGTGTGAACCACTGGAAGTAAACTTACTGGTTAAGAGGTAGTACTCTCGAACGCGCACATTTTATATTCTTTATCAACTCTCTAACAGAAAACATTAATTTGCTTCTCGAAGGATGTTACATAATGTTTGGTGTTGAAAAGCTTCATTTATTTTACTGATGAGAAATAAACATTGCAGTCTACAAATATTTATACCATGAAAAGATATCAAATGTAAAGTAAATATAAGCAGACAATATTCTCGCTCAGTTTTGAGAATTCTTGAGAGTACTGACCCACAATCTTACAACTAATCGAATCTCTGATCGTGTGGATTTAGAGTGAACACAATATTATTCCACTTATGACTTGAAATATAACAATCACTGTATTTAGTATACGTGTTCAATATAACGCGATGGAGTTTAAAGCGAATGGTACTGGGTTCGAGCTCCAGAGTGAACATTAACTGTGAGATGGAGGTACATCCAGCTGACAAGTCCCAAATAGGACGAAACGCTCGTCAAACTGAATTCCACTGTTAGCCACTATCCATTTTGTATTAATACAAACAAAAACAGATATCTTTTTGGAATATCTAGATGTCAGGAACAGGCAGCCCAGCTATTCAAGGATGAAATCGTCTTTTTTAATTCTATCCATTATTAAGTATTTTACTTGTTTATATTCAGTATAATTTGAAATTAACTTTAGAGAAGATCATTTTCAAAGTAGTGGATCCGCTTTTATATTCCATCATAACATTTTATATGGGAAGCCGTGTCGTCCCATTGTGGAACTTCTCGGCAGTGCGCATCCACGATCCCGCTCGCGGGATTCGAACCCAAGGAAAGGCAAGAACCGCATTACTACAATTGAAGAACGTATGGAACTCAAAACAACTGTCAACCAATACCAAAGTCAGAACCCTCAACACTAATATTAAGGCGGTTCTACTGTACGGAGCTGAAACTTGGAGAACTACAACAACCATCATCAAGAAGGTACAATATTTATAAATAGTTGTCTATGAAAGATACTCAACATCCATTGGCCGGATACCACCAGCAACAGCCTTCTCTAGGAGAGAACAAACCAACTTTCAGCTGAAGAGAAAATTGGGAAAAGACGATGAAAATGGGTAGGACATATATTACGCAAATCGTCAAACTGCATCACGAGGCAAGTTCAAATTGGAATCCTGAAGGGAAGTAGGAAAGTGGAAGGTTAAAGAACACATTACGTCGGGAAATAGAATCAGATATGAAAAGGATGAATAACAACTGGAAGGAACTGGAAAGGATTGCCCAGGACAGGGCTGGATGGAGAATGCTGGTGAGCGGCCTATGCTCCTTCACGACGAATAACAGGCGTATGTACTGCATTTTGTGTGAATTACACAAGTCCTATTTAATTTATTCAACAGGTATTCAGTAAAATAACTAAATTGTACACTGTACTAAAACAACGTATAGATAGCAAATTAATCACAAAATTAAACAACAATAATGCTCATCAAAATGTAAAGTTCTCTAATATTTACAACTTACATCTTATTGAATCATTATTTGTAATCTGTTCATAATTAGTTGTATCGAAGAAAAACATATCAGATAATTCTTTAATAACAGGTGTTTCCTGATGAGAAGTCTGTAACAAAAGATCAAATGTAACAAAGTTGACAACATTTTTCTTTGTTTTTTTGTCTTGGTTTCTGCTACAAAATCAATTCACTAGTGTTTTTTTTTGGAATTTGTTTTACTTATCATAACTCGACAGTTGTTGCTACATTGACGTGATGGTCAGGCTTGCCTGTCGTGATGAAGCAACCGAGCTATACTGGCTGGAACAACCGTTTCCTCAAGGTCCTACCATGTCAGACAAGTCGGTTGAAGAGCGGTAAGACTAAAAGCAACAAACCCAAGGTCCGAAGGCGAAGTCGTACTGCTGACTGTACAGAGGTGTGACAGCAGTAAGGTGTTTCCTTCAGACAACCAGCATGACAGCGATGCTGCCTTCCCACAGAGAGAGGTGGGGTTAGAAAAGGTCGACCCTAAAAATGCACACCTTGCCTTATCCCACGGATATCCGTCTCCGGTAATAAGGTCTCAACAAGTACGGAGCTAACACAAAAATTACCCATAAAAGGTCGTGCGTGACCGCTGTCAAGCAGTTGTCCCTTGGGCACTGCGGTCACGCTCTCAGGTGACCAAGACCACCTCTAATCCAATTTCCTTTTCACGTACCTCCAGAAGAACCCTTCCACGATGTGGGTAGCCGGGAAGTGATAGCCGCCCTCATACCTCTGACAGCACTCAAGACTGACTGACTTATCATAAAGACGGTGTATATTTACTGATATACATTTGAAACATGTTAATCAACATTTGGATTGGTTGTTTGAATCTTCTCATGGATGTTAAGGACTGTTTGGAACACTTTTAGTATATGTACATCCTATGAGGACCGCCCCAATATTACACAAAAATTATAAGCAGAGATAGATGGTGGGTAGGAATGAAATACAAGACCAGCGTTTTATCATACTTTGAACTCGTCATTTAGATTTACCTGTCCTCCAGAGTTGATGTTCACTCCGTGACTCAAACCCACTACTGTTCGCTTCAAACGCCATTGCATTATCCACTTAGCTACTAATATGCGCGTCCTGGATTTCATTTGTACCCACCATCCATCTCTGCTTATAATCTTTGTGGTTTAAGGTAATATTAATTACAGTCCTAAAAATCATTTGGAAGATTTCAACAACGGATATAAATGAGTTAAACTTCACTACAATGCACAAACTAGTTCGTAACTGGATGCAATAGCTAAATGAATAATAAGATGTTGTTCGAAATGAATGGTACTGAGTTAGAGTCCCGGAGTGATGCGAACGAGTACATCCAACTGATGAGTTCAAAACAGGACGAAAAGCGCGTCATGGACTACACCGCCAGTCACCATCCAAGTTTGCTTATATCAATCAACAGTTTAAATTGATGTGGATAAGATCACTCATTATTTAAACTATCAGTTTACTTGTACGGGTCAAAACATGTACAACTCGACAATAGAATAGGATAGTCCCTGTTCTTATTTCTGAGAATATCCTGCGAAAGCTTTAACTAAAATGGTTCTCATGTGATCAGGAGTTCGATTCCTCATCAGTAAGCAGGTGGTTTAGAACTAATTAAGTATTTCAGCATAGGAGGTTATGGCAACATGTAATTTCCACAGTTTCCCATCACAAAATGACTCAAATTAGTTTAAACATTGAAATTATCAATATTATTAACTTTGATTGGTCGTTGAGCTTCTCTGTTGGTAAAAACACTGAGTGTTTGATTTTTTATGTTTGCTTGGGTGTAAGTTCAAGGTACAGGTGACTGATGATGAAAGAAATTTTAGGGAATAATTTCAGTGGACATGATTCCAGTAAAATATTTGAGGTTGGGAAAAATGTGTTTGAAAACCATATTCAAAATCAGCCAATCTAACTACTTAGTTGCTTCACTTTTTATCACTAACATTTTTCTCTGTAGTTTAGGTTAATGTACTCTTAGAAGTTCTATCTTAGATGTATGACAAGAAGAAACTAATAATTTATAACCATACGTTTACATTATTAACCAAATACACAAACTGGAGACATGGATAATTAATTAAAAGGACTAATTGCTTTATAAAATTCTGTTTAAATCAATATCACTTCCTTCTTATAATATCCCAATTTGTGAGAAAAACCTTGTACTATCTGAGTTTTTTAATATTCAAAACCTGACCTACGTGTTCAAAAGAGACGGTTATTAATCTTTCCTTGCCTTGGTGACAAATACTCTTTCGCTGTATCTTAAAAAAGTTTTTTTTTCTTTCTTCAAACTCTTTCTCACATTTATTACATCAGTGAGTTTATTTCAACTGAACTCTACTCACTATATTCCTATTCATTATGTAATCACTTGTTTCTAGCCCCTTGAACGGCTGTCACATAAGGTATATAGTTACAATATTTTATTTACACCCTTGCTATACTATACGAATATGCCTTCCATATAACTTCCAATAAAACTTTCATATAAGTAATTTAAACCCATTATGTAATTATAATTTTAAATATCACAGGTTGTAAGCAGCTGATGAGAACCTACGAAATAAAAATGAATTCATGTTATTTTAATGGTTGAAATCATGAGTTAATTAAAGTTAAACCACCATGGAAAACCTGGAAGCACTGGACGGCCGTTTCGTCCTAGTATGGGACTCCTCAGCAGTGCGCATCTACGATCCCGCCCCCCGTGAGATCCATGCTATTCTGCTAGACTGTTTGTTTTTGCTCTTTTCAAAATGATAAAGGGAACTATGTGTATAAAATTTTCAAAAATACTAAAAAATCTTACTCTTCAGCTGTTTTATCATTTCATCTTCATGTTGTATCTATTCAACTCAGTGTAATTCTTTTAAGATAATTTTGGATTTCGAGAATAGAACGAAACAGTTCGAAGCTACATCTTGTGATTAGCAGTGTGATCTAGCAAGATGATGGTATGTAGAGACAGAAACTTGTGAATAATCTCTGTTGAATGTGTAGGGATATTTACGAAGTATAACAGACAACAATGAACATAACTCTCATTCATTAGTTAGTGGCGGACCATTACTTTCAGACCGAAACAAATAGAAGGCATTTAAGTACAATATAACCTACTGATCGTTAGCTTATTTATGTTCACAATCAGCATTCCGAGTAGATCTGCTGACATGTTTATTATACAAATGATGTTACTTAAATGGCTTCAGTAGTAAATTTTACGAAATAATGAACAAACAATTGATATTTACTGTGCTATTTTATAACAAACTGTAAATCAGATCTCTTCCAATCCATTAACGTATAACTTGATTTACGAGTAAAGAAGTAACAAACGAATTAAGATAAATAAATAAAAATGCAATTGACTTACATATAATGAATTAAATACACGTCTTAAATTAGGCAGACCACCATTCATCCATTTTTCGGACTCATTACCTGATGTATTCATTGTGGTACCTTTTGGTAATCGTTTACCTTGCAATAAAATACGTCCCATAAGATCACGTGGTGATGGCCATCTTACAAAAGAACCATTTGATGTGTATACTGTTGATTCATTTTTTAAATCAACAACTGTTAGACTATTTTTACGATTGCCTTTATTATTAATATTAATATTATTCATCATAGAATGTAGTTTTGTCTTTTCAACTTGCTCTTCAATTTCCAATTGTGATTCACTTAAATTAAAAGTGAATTCTGAATTTGGCAATAATAAACGATTACCAAGACAACAACGTAAGAATGTGACCAGTACACGTTGTTGTGCTTGAGTTGCATAGCATTCAATTGATACAATAACTGGATATCTATAATAATTAATGGAAAGATAAACATATCGAGAGTCATTAGAAAACGTTAGCAATATTTAACTAGTATTAAGACGGAATACTTTTAAAAAACCTTCAAAGCAATCCCTATGATATACTAATCAACTAAAGTTGATAAGCACTACTGAACGGTCCCATACTAGAATTAAATAGCCGTCCAGTGCTTAAAGGTTCTAATCATTTTTTAATCAGTCTAATCTGTAATCTGTGATAGTTTGGATAATCTCGCTATTGACAATTTGACTGAATTTTGATTAGTCTTAGTTGGCATACGTGTATCATATATGCACTATCTCGAAATAGCTCAGTCAGTCAGTCAGCTACAACGTAGGGGACTAGGCACATATATGCATCGGTCCAAGTTGTCATACCACATAAGCACAGCAAGACGAACACTGGATTCATAGGAGTAGTTAATTCAGTGGTGGTAATATATAAAAGAAAGATTGCAATAGGGATATAGTACAGGAAGACAGAATTAGTTCGTAGAAAGAAAGATATGAAGTGATTTTAATCTCTTAGTTTAAGGGAAGACAGGGAGTGTATACACCTACGCCATTGTGACTGATTCTGAGCCATGTCATCAAGTCTCCAACCATTGGTTACGAAAGTCACGCGGACCCCAACCAAGTAGTCTGCATCTAACAACCTGGCTTAGACTAGAGGTTAGTGTCTTCAAGCACTGATGCCACGTTTTGGTTTGGCCGCCCCTAATTCTCTTACAACCATCCCCTACACTGGTTAGCATTGCACGTCGTGGTAATCAGTGTTCAGGCATACGTAACACATGGCCCAAACATCTCAGTCGATGAAGATTCACAACCTCATCAACCTATTTACCATCATTCCCTGATGCCCTGCGTCTAACCTCACTATTACTTACCCGGTAATCCCAGCAGATGCGAGCAATAATTCTAAGACGTCTGTGATCAAATACTAGTAACTTAGTGTATCTTCTACTTTTGATGACCACGTTTCACAGCCGTAAAGTAAAACAAAATTACGAAATAGATACTATGTAAAAAGTCCATAGAGTATGAGTGAAATATTCTTAGCAGTAGAATCTAGTACTTATCAATAGTGGATTAGTGTTTAAAGTGAAAGATACTGGATTCGAGTCTCATAATGAACACTAAACATAAGACTTAAGTACATCTAGATGATGATTTCTAAGATAAAGCAAAAAAGAACATTATAGATCTAATTACTACCCACATCATTCCATATATTCTAATATAAACCTTATTTTTTTCTTTTGACATTTTATTACAAATTCTTCCTTTTTTTTTAACAAAAAAATTTCAAATCACTAGGGATTTTTACCTGACTACTATAATTGTATATTCTCTTTTTTCCCAATGTTTCCCAGACAATAAATCAATACAAGTAAATAGATAATTTATAGTTGATTGATAACCGCATAATTTTGTTAAATAAAAGTTCAAATCAATCATTTCAATAACATAATCTATACAAAAATATGTACTTCACTTAATTGGTATATATATATGTACCTATATCTGTTATTATGTACATATGTGGTGTTTCTATGTACCTTAAAATGTGCTTATCTATTCAAGTAGAAAAAAGTTAATTGTGTGCATTTACTTATTTAAGAATTTTCTTATTAAAAGTATTCTACCGATATTATTTTATGATGATGAAGTATTCCATAAATATAAATGGATAATTGCTGTGAACAGGGAAACAAGAAGCTCTCACAGACTACAAAAGCTGTTTTTCGGGACGTTATTCCATTCCCTCTACCCCACTTTGAACTCACGTGTACTAGCCTCAAGGTTAGATCGGTCAGCCTATTGCGCCAAGGTCTTAATCTGGATTAGACAAGTATCCTCAGCACCGAAAGTGGGTAGACAGACCAAAGGACATAACAATAATATAAAGAAATTTGTGTATCATCTTACAAAATCATTTTAAAAATATAGAAACAAAAACATTTGCATAAAATAAGCAAAAATGGATAGTGGCTAACAATGGAATACAATTTCATGCGCGTTTCGTCCTATTTCGGACTCGTCAGTTGAATGTGCCTGCATATGAGGGTTAACGTTCACTCTGGGACTCAAAAAAAGTAGCATTGGCTTCAAACGCCATCGTGTTATCCATTTAGCTATTGAGTCCTGATAGCCGCTTGCTTGTGCAATTGGGTGAAGTTTAAATTCACTTGGCGTTGTGTATACTTGAATCTTCCCATTAATGTTTAGGACCGCAATTGGTCAGTCTCTTATTGGCATATGTGCATACTGTGAATTTAAATTCACCTCATTTCACAAGCAAGTGGCTATCATGACTCAGTAGCTAAGTGGATAACGTGATGGAGTTTGAAGCGAGTGGTACTGGGTTCGAGTTCCAGAGTGAACATCAACTCTGAGATGGAGGTACATCCAACTGACGAGTCCCAAATAGGACGAAACGCGCGTCAAAGTGGATCCTACTGCCAACCACCAAACCATCTTTGCTTATAAAGCATGTGAATCAAGGCAATATCGAGGCAATTCGCACAGTATGCACATATCCCAATAACAGTCTTAAACCTTAATGGAAAGATTCAAATAAACAATATCAAGTGAATTTGCATAAAATGAAATGAAAGTGAATAAAAAAGGCTGAATCTTTTGAACTGAAAATTTTTAGGTGGTTTTTGTAGAAAAATTGTTAGCCATTGATATAACATTTAATGCCTCCAAATGCCCTGGTACGGTCGAGAGTGGTAAAAGTCCTCTCTCCCTCTCGAAATGCTCTCACATAGCCACGCGTATATAGCCTCTGTCAAGGAATTCCTACTCACTGCCTTCTCTCAGCCGAGGTGTTGTTTACAATACTGAGAGGACGAGAAGAGAATGTCTGACGCTTTAACCGCGTTGATGGACATGGAGAGTTCACCTAGGGAAGTTGGAAAACCCTCATTCCAAACCAATGGTGCACATGGGCTGGCTACAGTATCCTGAAGGAACAAACGGTGTGTGAACCAATCGTTGGTCACCAGCTTTCATAGGACTGCATCTCCATACGATGCTCCACTGCCTTGTGGATCAGACCTTTAGGTCGAGGGCTCGGGGTGTGTCTTTCTAAGAAAACCACCTGCTTCGGTTTGGGCACTCGGGTAGTATCAAGCCCTCACATAAATCGAATGATTTATGTGGCGTATATCTATTTGGTGCCTTCTTGTACCAATATCTATGTGTTAAAATAAATAATAATAAATGACATTAAAAACCTTTCGTGCATAATTTAGTTTAATCTAATGTATGTTTTCTCAGCAATGGATATCTATGACACAACAGGAATTGATGACCAAACCTTCATCATTCAGGTCATTTAAAGATGAATAAATCAGATTGAATAATAAACATTTTCAACTGTAGTCAGTTTGTATTACTATGCAAACTTTGTTTATCGTTATCAATGATAATTGTCACAATTCTAACTAGAAGTCACTAAATTTGGAGTATCAGTACAGTGATTGATATGTGACTATTTAGGCAAGTGATAAATATACCATTGCGTACACAAGATAAATAGGTTTCTCAATATTATTCATTCACATTATTATACATAGTTTCTAAATGATGATTAACTATTCTTTATATTTCATTCTTGAATGTTTACGATCGTTTTTGCTTTAGTCATTGAATATCTTTAATGTATGAATAGTGTAGACATTGACTGGTATTCGTCTAAAATATCAAATAAAAGTAAAAGTTTACGACTTGTATGTTTTAAAATTCCTCAGTAATTAGATTTGTAATTAGGTTGTAAACATTTGATATATAACTGACAGATATAATTAGTTAATAAAAAGGAAATCTAAAATACCAGGACGAAATGGTCGTCCAGTGCTTCCAACGTTTTCCATGGTGATCTAGTTTCAATTGACTCATGATTTCAACTAATGAAATCTAAAATAGTCAGATATATAGTAATGTGTTTGTAGAAAATTGGTCATTTAAAAGTTTAAGCAAAACATCATGTACACTTTGTTTAAATGTTAGTTGTTTTTAAGAAGCTTAGTTACAGGTTGATGTGAGAGCTATTGATAGAATTCGGCCTTTGTATGTAAAATAAATGCCGGAAGATTCGATATTGTTCACCAGATTGATTCAAAGTCAAATATTTTAAACAATAATACGATACTATTCTGCAGAATGTGATACACAGTGGTGAATAATATAGAGTGGAGTATATGTGTGTATTAATCCAAGATAATACACTTCATATTATTAAAATGAGAGGAGAAAATTATCAAGAAAATAAATCATTGAAAGTGACAAAACTAAAGGTAAGGAACATAATTTTGAAGAGAAACATTTTAATTAGAGAGGTAAAAGGAAAGTTTCACTATAGGGTTGTGGAGATTATCAAATTTTTGACTGAGATCACTAACCGATTGATGTTAGACCATCAATAAAAACCTGGAAGTACTGGGCGGACGTTTCGTCCTGTTGTCGGGCTCTCCAGCAGTGCGTATCCACGGTCTCACCTCGCGAGATTCAAACCCAGGGCCTATCAGTCACGCGCGCGAACGCTTAACCTCTAGACCATTGAGCGGGCATCCAACTGTGTTAATGTGTAACCTCGACCAGTCCACCAAATTGCGCGACCACCTTTCATTGTACTGAGGCAGATACCTGTCTCTACTCGATACGGATTAGCTCCATTGGTCACGGTCTGTGTCGGACCGTAAATCGAATTCAGTGATTTTTTATACTTAATTAATTATCTCAAAACAATAGAATTGTAGGATTTGTATAGTTAAATGATAAGTAACTCCGTATTTAATTCATATCGTATGACAAAAAATAAACAGTGGTCTAGAGGTTAGCGTCCACGCGCGTGACTGATAAGCCCTGGGTTTGGATCTCGCGAGGCGGAACCGTGGATGTGCACTGTCGAGAATTCCCACATTAGGACGAAACAGCCGTCCAGTGCTTCCAGGTTTTCCATGGTGATCTAGCTTCAATGCTCATTGGTTCAATGTTCACTAATCATTAACTTTGACTAAAGTTTCGACTTAGTGAGTTCAATTATATTTATCTGGATTGTTAGATTTATTATCAATAACATTGGATATTCATCGAAGTGTTAGATGATTTGACTGAAATTCCCAATATATACCATTGAGTTTCAATGCAATAATCATTCAAAGCTTAACCACTTGATGAGAGACTTAAATGTCGTGTCTCTAGTTCCTGATATGTTGCTGTATATTTACTGCTGGATAGTTTTGTTCTAAAACAAAATAGCTTTGCAGTAATCTCTGGTTTCAATTAGTGCCCTGATAGATTTTATTCAGCAAATAATACTATCTAAGGAATAAAGTTAATCTCTACAAAAATGTATAGTAATATTAAAATAGAAGCTGAATATTTTGTAAAATTTAAATAATACTACAAGTGTATGGAGTTAACTTACTCAGAACGTATGAATGCAAAATCATGTATTGTATTTAATACAGCTTGTATTGGTATACCAGGTGGTCGAGAGTTGGCACGTCTAACAACTGGATGACCATCATGACCATCATAGACTTCAACTAAAAGTGTACATAAAACAAATTAAGTAAAGTGAACAAAAAGTTTCATCGCTGTGAAATTATTTGCTTACAAACAGTGGAAGGTTTATCATAAAAGTTTATTGTAATTTGACTAAAAAATTGTTAGATCACCATTGAGACCACAGGTTCTGTTTTCTCGTCTTACATGCGAGATCGCGGATGAGAACTGCTTAAGAGTCCCATATTAGGACAAAATGGTCGTCCAGTGCTTCCAGGTTTTCAATGGTGGTCTAATATTGATCCATTTATGATATCAATCTAAATTACTTTGTGTCAATACTGAAAAAAGAAGATATTAGCTAGGTACTTAAAGAATGTAAACGACAATTTATTTTATCAGAATGTTACATATTATAATATATGATATATTACTATAACCAGATTTGATAAAATGAAAGAAATGAAGTATAAGGTTATTTTAAGTTCATGAATACATTTTCGTTGAACTATTATCGAAGTTATATTGGGCATCTAAGGCCTTTATCAAAGTTTTCATTCGGTTGCCATACAGAGAAGGAAACATCCGGTAAAAAACATATTTAATGATCTGAAAATGTCATTTGGAGAAGTAAGATCATGATTTTCTATGAGAACAAACATCATATAAATGGTTACACTAAATCCTATTGAACTGAAAAAGTCGACATGTGCACGTGAACTTAAATAAATAAGGAGGAGTATTCGAATTCTTGAATCAAGAGCTTGATGATATATATGACACAAAAGTTTCTGATAGATGTAGGTAGTAGGAAACAATAGCCGTCTAAAATTCACCATGCAGATATTATCTAAGTAGTAGTCGTAATTTAACCGCACTTAGTCTACTATTACACTGAATGATACAAATGAAATTTTTAAGAGAATATATATATATATATATATATATATATATATATATATATATATATATAAGTGGAGATGATGTTGGTTGGCCGTGGAATTCAGGACATGTGTCTCATCCTATTTAAGACTCGCCAGCTATATGTGACTCCATCCCAGAGTTGATATTCACTTCAAGCCTGGGTTCGATTCATAAAGTGAACATCAACTCTTGGATACAGGTACATCCTTGTGACGAGTCCCAAATAGGATGAAATCCACGTCAAACTGGATTCCACTGCTAACCATCATCATCTTTGTTTATAATACCTGTGACTTGAAGACATATTAAGGCAATCCGTACAGAATGCATATATGCCAATAACAAACTGATCGATCACAGTCTTAAAAGTATGCTATTTTCATGTTGGTTATAATAAATCTATATGAATTATGAAAAAAGTGATTTATCTTAAAATGTTTACACATTTTGTAACCATAATAAATGTCAAAACTGTATATTATAATGGTGTATTGGCTTATTTCATTTTATAAATATCATTATGAAATGATTGAATATAATCAATTCTATTAAATTGATTATGTAACAAAAGTTATGATTTGTTTTCTTTAATTTTTCATGTACTGGACAATCATTTCGTTTTAGTATGGGGACTCCTCAGAGGAGTGAGCATCCACAATTATGCACATGGAATTCGAATCTAGAACCTTCGATTTCACATGAGAACGTTTGATCTCTTCTAGATCATTGAGCTAGCATACAACAGCGTACATATTTCGCTTCAAGCAATCCATGCCTTATAAAACTCGACAATGTAATCGTGCATATTTCATTGTTTTCCATATTTTAACATTTTTATTGATAGTAATGTTGTCATCACATATATGTCATAAACTAGGGCGAAGACTATTTAAGAATAGTCTTTGATGAAAAACAAAAACTTTGTTCATAGAACATGTTTATCAATTAAACATAATTACACAAATCTACTTACGTTCAATATACCGACATCCTGAAAGAAGTGCTCTTTGATAACCTTCAATACTGCAAGGACCTGTTAGTTGATCTTCAAGTAAAAATCTATAAGTTTTACAAAATATAAAATGTAATGAATACAGCACAGTTTATTGGATGATTTCTATATTTTGAGAACTGACATATCGGTATATAATGGGTTTAAGAGTGACTATAGTTCATTATTTGAGATAAGATGATGTATTGAAAGTTAATTGGAAATAACGGAGGAGATTCGTAATTGAGAAGAGTGATGTTAGGTGAGATTGCTTTCTCTTGTGTACATGGCTTAATCATGAAGCTAAGAGAATTCAGTCGAATCAAAATTTTCACTTACTGTTCAAATATAACCATAATTTATTTAAACTATGAGCAATTGATTGATACAGCATGAAAAGAGGAAAATCACTTCAATATTCCAGGAACATTATCTAACAACCATCAATGGATTGCACATTTTGTCGTATACTATTGGGATAATCTAAGATTATGAATTTGTCTTAAGAGCAGCTGTTATAAAGGTAGATATTCCATGTTTACACCTATGGGACGTTAATTTAATTTAGATGAATTTCTAAACAAGATTCCTTCCCAGTGTCTATTCTACAAGACTTCAACACAAGTGAGATCAAGAACATATGATTAGCCTGACTAGAACGTAAATATATTTTCACACTAAAAATCCGATACAGCAATGAACAATCATTAAAAATTAATAATAAGGATAGGGGAATATATAACTCATCTAACACCTGTGAAACTATCTACATTTCTGACAAAGCAGACAATCAATCCTTCTCATCCTCGTCCACACATCAGCAGCGTATTTACAACTGAAGTACATCTGGACTCAAAACAACTGTCAATCAATACCAACGTCATAATTTTCAAAACAAATGTCAAGACAGTTCCACTGTATGGGACATAAACTTGGACAACTACGAAAACCATCATCTAGAAGATACAAGTGTTTATTAACAATTGTCTACGCAAAAAATACTTCGGATCTGTTGGCTAGACATTATCAGCAACAACCTACTATGGGAGAGAACAAACCAGATTCCGGTGGGGGGAGTAAATCAGGAAGAAGCGCTGGAAGTGGATAAGACACACATTGAGGTAAGCACCCAACTACAACACAATGCAATCCCTCACATGGAATCCCCAAAGCCAAAGGAGGAGAGGAAGACCAAAGAACAGATTACGCCGGAAAATGGAGATAGACATGAGAAAAATGAACAACAATTGGGTAGAACTAGACAAAAAGGCCAAGACAGTGTGGGTTGGAGAATGCTGGTCGTTGGCCTATGCTAGACTGGGATTAACAGGCGTAAGTAAAAGTAATCAATTTGTCTTCTAATAAAAGTTTCTAAGTATTGCGATTGCTCTTGTCTGATAAAAGTAATGGGATTATTATATGAAAAAACCTGCACAATTTATAAAAACTCGAATAAATGAAATATCAAGAAGAAGGTTAACTAAAAATTGAGTTATTAGAGTATCATAAATATATATGATGCTAATGTGACTGTATAACAATTCAACAGATGATAGAAGCTGTAATAAAAGCTCCTATGTTTTGTTTTATGTTATCTAGTAAATATTCTTTTATTACTATATTGTAAATACTCTATTCATGATGTGACAATCAATGAAAATAGGTCAACTCCATACATTAAATGACTAAGTCGACTTAAGTTTTAAGTTTGTTAAAACTCAGTTATTGAATTGGTTATGTAATGAAGAATAGACAATATTAGCTTATAAATTTTGTTATTCATCATGAAGTATTGTGGTGTGAGTTACTTATATCCACACAAGTAATATATAACGGTGGTCAGGTATAGAATGTATTTCAGTAGAAGTTCGATGAGGAAAGAACGGGAACGGAATGCAATTAGTATGAAAATGCATGAACAATGAAATCTGAGAAAATGGATTGATGTTTGCAACAGAAACAGTCAAGTTTGAGATGATGGATTGATATTTTGCAAATTAACGATTTACTATATGGCTCTCAGATTTTATTGGGATACTCTGTAATTCTGTGCCAAGTAGATTCGTTTATTCCCGTTCGTGTTCTTGTTCACTACAGTATAAGTAGTAGTCAGAGTATTTGGAATAAATAATAAACATTCTAAGTAATTTATACCAAACATCTATATAATTAGACAGAAATGATGTAACAAGTATGCAGAAGATATTGTGTCCCCAAATGCCCTGGTACGGCCGAGAGTGGGGAGAGTCCGCTCACCCTCTCCAAATGCTCTCACATGGCCATGCGTATATAGCATCTGTCAGGGAAGTCTTACTCACTGCCTTCTCGTGACATTACTGTTGTTTACGAAATTGAGAGGACGAAAAGTGAATGTCGGCGCTTTAACCGGGTTGGTGGACATGGAGAGTCCACGTAGGGGAGTTGGAAAACCCTGATTCCGAACCAATGGTGCACATGAGCTCCAGTATTTATTTAGATCTGAATTGTTGAATCAATCAAACTTACGTTTTATGTGATGATGCAATGTAATAATGAGTTATTGGTTGAGACATATCTTGACAAACTTGTAGATGTACTGGATTGAATATATCACATTCTTCGGATAATAATAATAATGTAAATCCTAAAATGAAAGCAATATATGTAAAATATTAACGAAAGAATGTAATTTATGCATATTTGTTCAAAATGTATATATGTTTTATTGCTAAAATGAATATTTGGTATGTGGAGCCCTTTATTTTGTCGTCATTTAGATCGGACGATGTTGTCGAAAAAGCTTTCCACTTTAGTGGCCCAAGATCTGACTCCAATTTGATCGTATGGATGATCGTTGTCGAAATATATGTGTCCTGACTATTCTCGTATATCTTCATCGACTTAATCCGTATTGAGTGATTAACGGAATAAATAAGTCAAATAACGAGAATGGATTAATGAATACATTATATTTTGTAATATGAAGCGAAGCAAAACGTGGCGCAGTGAAGATGGAGGGTAAACCAACTCCAATTAACCGAGCGTTGATCAAAATTTATCGTCACACAAAAATAGGTTACAGACATATGATGAGTAATGGATAAGAAGTGTACACACACCCACGTACTCATATAAAAACAGTGAAGACTGATAAGCGAATAATTAACGAGGTCAAAATGTGACTCAAGTAGAATGAATAGATTGGCCTGTCCGAAAGCTAGAATAATATATATGGGCTTAACATAACAACAGACACTACAGGTGTTTTTCGATTGTTGCTATGTCATATTATTCACAGCCTTATCAATAAGACGTTTCTAAAATAATTTCTTGTTACATTTCTGTAAAGTTTGCAGTGCACATTACTGATTAAATTTAGTAAAAAGGCAATACTAAGGAAGGTCTTGACAACTTTTTCTTCCTAATACCGGACTCTTCAATAGTCAAGACTCAAAACTGTGCTAAATATCAAACAAATACAAGTTGTTAGCAAGAGATAAAAACCTAAGGGTGTTGTGTAGGGTACCTGATCGTTAAAAAGTTAAGTATTTGAGTTCTTTTATCTGTAAGGTTAGTGAATTTATGAGCTCACATATGTCTGGGGATTTTATTTATTTGTAATTGTCGATGGATCCATAGATATTCAGAACAGTCTTTCATCAATTAACATAAGCAGACGCCTAACTTTATCATCATGATTAGAGTTGATCGGTTGGGTGTGATTACCTTCTTCTTTGGGAGCCTGCTAGATATCCGAATCATCCAAGACTAAGCAACAAATCCTGAAGTGGCTGACTATTATTCTGAGCCATACATACAGCTGAAGATGTTTTGAAAGAGATCGATACTATAGTCACAATTTATATTTGAAGATTTCTGAAGACTTAAATCGAAATTTATTGCAGTGACGCAATTATATTCATTTTGTGTTTTCATATAAGTTTTAACCTTGTAGCAGTGTCATAGTATTCACCTGGAACATAGAAAGTACACACCCACGAAGACCTATATTTTTTTGAATTACTATCAGGTAAAACAGTCTTGTGACTACTAAATATATCATTTTAATCCTATTAATTTTAATAGTTGAGATCATGGGTCAATTGAGGCTAGACCACTATGGAAAACCTGGAAGCATTGGACGGCCATCTCGTCCTATTGTGAGACTCCTCAACAATGCACATCCACGACCTCGCCCCTTGCGAGATTTGAACCAAGGACATATCTGTCTAGTGCGTGAGCCCTTAACTTGTAGACCAGTGTTGGATGCCAGTCCAGTGGTCTAGAGGTTAAGCGTTCGAGTGCGAGACTGAAGGCCCTGGGTTGAAGTGAAACACATTAGGTCCAAGTTTTATTGTCAACATGAACACTTAGATGAGGTTGAATCTAGGAAATGAGTTTTAGACAGAGTGAAATATATACTGGGTTTCATTACTAGCCGATATCCAACTTTAATAAAATATTCTAAATACTGTGTAAGGAATTCATGGAAGATAAATACAAGAAATAATGAACTCACCATCGATTCCCATTAAATTGTATTGTCGATTTTCATGGGATGGTTCAAAACGATTAATTAAAGCTTTACATTGATCACGCGTTAATCCAGTCCTCTAAATTTTAAAACAAGACATAATAATTAAGTAAAGTATGTGAAATTAATAAAGATAATAGAAAACTGACATTTAGTACCAGGTAACATATAGAAGAGGTATAAGTACATTGTGTAATATTTATATCAGAGAGTTTAGTAGGGTTTGCTACTCTCTTATGGATAATAATGGGTCTTTGAATATTTCTTACATCAACGTTTATGTGCAGTAACATGGGATACTGATTGTATTGGTTATTAGTGTACATATTCACGAATGCACACCTATATATGATACATGTGCTTAAAATAAAAAAAAACATGTTTGGCTTGGATCTGAGCATGGCTCCCGATGATTTAGTAACACAAAGCGGGATCTGATAGGGACATTGAATTGTTTACTGAGGTTAGAAAAGAAAGAAGAGAGCTGTCGAGATATTGATTAATAGGTGGTATCTCTTATTTGAAGATATGCTTCAATGTCCTTTATATGAAAAAACAAATCAAGAAGAGACAACCGTACTTTACGAAAAACTGACTTTATTTAAACAGTTGATAGAAACACCGAGTCAAAGGATTTCTCTTCGTTTATGATGTGGGAGATCATTGTTATGTAGACATACGTCTTATAGATATAAGAATCTGTAGATATGTGTGTTAAGTTGAACACAACGTTAAATTCAAAAAAGTGATCTGAATCATATAAGGATGACAGTTGAATAAAGATAAATTTATTCCGTCTTATAATGTATTAATTATATGTGAGACATTAACAACTTACTGAACAAAACTTAAAAAATATACTTCATGAACACCATGAAAGAAACTTACACCTTGTTCGCTTTCAAAAAAATTCTTTAAATCTTCTGCACTCAAATGTTCTGATCCACTGGAATACCTAGAATAATTGTTTTAATAAATGATGTTTAAATAGTGATTCAATGAGAAAAGATTGTATGATAATAGATTTGAAACATATCTAATAAGTAATAACAGAAATAATTATTTGTAAAAGAGTTCCGTGTACTCAAATCGTTTGCCCTAGAGGTGCTAGGTGATAAAGAAATGGGAGAAGGGTTAATCGAGGAGTCGTTAGGAGGTGTAAGAAAGATTTGATCGTGACCAACTTAGTCTCGTGTGCTGTTGATTGATTGTTTATCCTATTCATTACGTATCTGTAACTTATTTTTGATCTGACTATAAATTATTGAGTCATTCTTGGTTAAATCTAATTAGTTCATTCATCTTCTCCGTTAGACGACATTTCTCCCCGCTTCGCTTCGCCTTCTTCTTTTTGCTTCCTTCGCTTCGTCTTCCTGATTGTCTGTTCAGATCAATGAGTGTATGAAGTATACATATTCAAGCTTCATTCTCGTATTTGACTTATTTTCGTTCCTTTATTCACTAACTCAATTCAAGTCGATAAAAACATATAAGCGTTGACGGCATATCTTTATCGATAACAATCATCATCATCCGATCTAATTAGAGTCAAATTGGGGCCTCTAAAATCTTTATGTACAAGTCAATTATGTTTTGGATATTGTTTGAAAATGGAATCCATGATACATTTTTGGTTCTATTTAGGAATTGTCAACTAGATACATAATCTACATCTCACTTCTGATATTTATATTAATTCTCGTAAACATTATCTATAAATTCAATATTCGCATCATTATTTATTATTTTTTTGTAAGTTATGGTTGTCAACAAAGTGTTCAGGAGGTATACTATTTTAAGAAAGAATATAACTGATTAAATTTAGGCACATCCAGTTGATGAATTCAAATAGGATGAAACATACGTTTTAGTTTCGACAATTGTAATCTAATTGACATTACAATTAACACTAAGACAATATAAAACTGTTACTAGTTGGTATTCTTTAAGAAGGAAATATATTTTGAATATTTTTGAGAACTGATGAACTTTTCATGATTCAAATAGATGTCAACGATTGTTCAGATCAAGTGTTACTATTGAACTATTCAATTAACTAAGAAAAAGAGAATTCAGCGAAGAAAATTTTGTTTTCGACGAAATCATTTACTTAAGCTATGCATTCGTATATATAGTTATATGGAAAATGTATGTCCATTAAGGGAATTAAGGCCAGGGAAGGATGAGAAGGGAAAAAAACGTCAGTCCAGTGTCTTTTAGTTCTCAATGATTCTTCAATTATTATCAAACAATGACAAAAACTAACTTTAATAAGTGATTCTTGTTGACAAATGTATTTGTTAGGTTCAGAAAATGTTTTCCATTTTAAATGAAGTGTATTCGAGTAAACCAAGTCATATGTATGTACACTGATTCATATATCTTTAAAAAAATAAGGCTATCTGTAGTTTGTTTCGTCTTTTAAAAAAACACATCCCTTTCATATATATATGACTGATCACTGAGTAGTGACTACTGTTATTGTTTACTAGTCTTTCAATGTTGATTGAGTTCTGGGTAGTAAATTGAAACGTGGTTATAAGCAGGAGTGACTTAATTGTTTTAATGTTAACTATTTGGTGTTAGTCGGCAGGATATTTTGGATTTTGGTTTTGTGCTGATATGTACTCCTTAACTAGTTGTACCTGGTTGTACCCTATGAGATTCGTATTTTCGTCATTCACGGTTCTTTGAGCTTATAAGATAACTTATAGATTTGTATACTTATGGTTATTATCAGTGATCCAATACGTACATTTCTTCCTATTTGAGACTAATCAACTAAGTGTTATTCCGTTACAATGTTGATATTCACATTGATAACATAAGTACACCTAGCTGGCAAGTCCCAAATAATCCATCAATTTTAAATGAATTATTAAATTATGACTATGTAAATATAATCTTTAAAGGATATACATCTACCGACTAAGAATAATGTGATTTCAGTCATGAATATCATCGATGAAATCATTTAAACGCTAGACAATTTACTACGGTATTGAATAAGAAAAAGAGAATTCAGTGATGAAAATTTTCTCTTCTCGACGAAATCATTTACTTAAACTGTATATTCATATATATATAGTTATATATGGAAAATGTCTATGAAGGATAGGAAGGATTGTACTAATCAAGGGGTAAAGAACAAAATTTATGGGTCAGATAATAGTTCAATTGACAGATATGAAGAAAATCGACAAACAACAAAGGTCGTAATAATTTTCTTCGCTAAATTCTCTTTTTCTTATTCAATGATACTATGGGTTATTTTAATCATCAATTAACTCTTATGAGAGTGAGATATTTACACTGACTAAACACTGGTTAGTAGTCAATATTATGTTTGTTTAATAAATAGTACTGCTGATTGAATTCGATAGATCAGGTTTGATTCATTTGATAGGAAAATTCTTTTACCCAGTGAAATAATAATAATGAATCAAACATATCAAAACGTTGGGAAAAGTGGTCTATGATTAGTACTAGTACTGATTAAGAGTTACAGTATTACTTATACAATGCTCTAGAATATTAAAATTAAATAGCTACAAATGTCTAGATATTGTTTAGATCAGAAAGATACATGAATGTATATTGGTTTTAAGGATGCACAATAAACAGATATTTTGTTAAGGTATATTTGACAACTACTTTATTTTACCGTTGTTGAATTCATGAGTCTATCTAAGTTAGACCACCGTTGAAAACCTAGAAGCACTGGACGACCGATTGGTCCTAATATGGGACTCCTCACCAATGCGCATCCTTGATTCTACTCGCCGGACTGTTATGTTTTTTTAAAACGTCTTAGCCTTTTCAATAATTAATTTTATTGCATGATATATCGGCCAAATATGGTACTGTTAAGCGTTTATACTTCACTTTATGTAGATAGATTTAAAGTACTGATGTTCTGGAGTTCTAGCTAGTGGTTTTGTTGGAACACAATAACTTTGATATATCTTAATAATTAATTACGATAAAGTGAACTTGCTTTAATATATATATATATATATATATATATATATATATATATATATATATATATATATATATATATATATATATATATATATATATATATTATATTATATTATAAGGTAGCTTAAGAAAACCAGAAACAATATTTCTAAGATAGAATTATTAGTAACCAATAATTATAATTGTTATATCCCGATAAGTACAATGAATGGCAATTCTTGGGATCCATTTATGGACCAATACTATGAGTATATTTTTATCGTATGATTGTTATGTAACTAAACTATTCATACTCATGTCCTTCTTATTATGAGTTTTATTTTGACCTATGAACTATTATTATACGATTGCCATTCTTGAGTTATGCCCTGTCTATTAATTACTACTCCCTCATTCACAGCCACATTTGGCTAAATCTTGTACGAATGTTGTTTGCTATTTTATGGCACGTTGTGGTCGGTTTGATTGGTATATAAATCCCTTATGTTTGAAATAAATGATTCATATCGCAGAGGCTGAGACTTGTGTTCTGGACTTAACTGGCTGGGCTAGACACGAAGCGAGACAAATCAGGACTCTAGGCAGCTCGCACGTGTTTAAGCGTCATTGTTCCGATCGATAAGTCGCTGCTCTCTAAGAGGCAGTGTCGTTGCGTTATCCAATATACAGGGCACACAGATTCACAAGTTATAACAATAATGATATTATTATTATTATTATCATTACTAATGGTTTTATCCAATATTAGATCTTTGGTATAATATAGAATTCTCAGCACAAAGTATTTCAACAAGTTTCCTCTTCTTATTTCTTGATCGATCCTGAAAATAAATACTGAGTGATCGCCAGTTGGATGTTAACAGTTCAAGATTCAACATATCACGAAACGAGCAAGGTATCAGTGTCATGGATGTTCACTGTCAAGGAGTCTCATACTAAGACAGGAAAGCCCTCTTATATTTCCTCGTTATCATTAGTTGTTTAAATCAGATTTATTTGTAATTTAAATGAAATTCAATAATTTCCACACAACACGAATAATTATGTAGTGAAATAATAACCATTAGATATACATCATTCTTTTTTTTAAAAAAGAAAAACGCTTACCTTACAAGAATGTAATAAATCTCTTGTCTGGTAGCAACTTTCTTAAAAAAATTTACAAAATCATCTTTAGTTATTCCAGTTTTATGACATCGAACTTTACTCTCCATCTCCTATAAAAAAACAAAAAGGAGGTATATCTATATAAATGAAGAAATTCTAAAAAATTGAAAATATCATACTTATATGGTCTACAGACAGGAACGGAAGAAACAAACAAACAAACAATAACTTATGGAATCTTACATTGTGTATAATCACTAGAAAAAAACTCAGATAATAGTTGTCAAGTGTTTTGTTCACTACTTAGTAACTACAATCCAATAATGGTCATACAAACTTAATCTCCAATGAAAACATTTCACATTTCAAAATTAAATCATTAAAGATTTGGCAGAATGTTTTTTTTTTTAAAAAATCCTTTCCTTTCAATTCATTAACAGACAAGATTTCACAGAAAAAAAAGAGACAGAAACATGATACCTTTCATATCATCATAACAATTTCAATGATGGTTTTCATCATCACGTATAAGCGCACACATACGCACGTAAGCACTAACACACATGCACACGCACACACAAACAAACACATCGATATACAAGTGATAATATTTTTCTTTTTATATCATTAATTTGTTTTTCAAATAAATAAATAAATAAATAACACAACAAACAGTAACTAGATCAGATGACTCTTAGCAACAACGAAAAAGTGGTAAAGAATCAATCGAATTACCGGTTTCTATATATATAAATACATACATACATACATACACTGAACTTGATCTAGTCTTTTCTTTATCAGATCAATCAATAAATTTGTAAAAATGTTTTGTTCATGTGATAATAAACCAAAAGAGTGAAAAGTGGAAGAAAAACTTAGTTATAGTTACTTAGTTAGTTAGTTATGTTTTAGTCTTAAATTAGTTAAAATATTTCAAAAGCCATCATCCAGAAGATACAGGTGTTTATTAACAGTTGTCTACGCAAAAAATACTTCAGATCTATTGGCCGGACATTATCAGCAACAACCTACTATGGGAGAGAACAAACCAGATCCCAGTGGAGGAAGAAATCAGGAAGAAGCGCTGGAAGTGGATAGGACACACATTGAGGAAAGCACTCAACTGTGTCACAAGACAAGCCCCTACATGAAATCCTCAATGCCAAAGGGGGAGAGGAAGACCAAAGAACAGATTACGCCGGAAAATGGAGATAGACATGAGAAAAATGAACAAGAATTGGATGGAACTAGAAAGGAGGTCGGAGGACAGAGTGGGTTGGAGAATGCTGGTCGACGGCCTATGCTTTATCGGGAGTAACAGGCGTAAGTCAGTAAGTAAGTATGTATCAAAATGTCTACTAATTTTGTATTTACTAGAACGTTATTTTATAAACGTTTTCTTTTTTCAAAATACTATTTGTTTTTGTGGCTTCCTAAAATTCCGAGATACCAATGTATAGACCGAGTTATGAGTAATACGAAACATTGATTGATTCAATTTATGTGAACTCATGTTCATGCGAATACATATTATCAAGTATTATGATCATAGTTTTAAATCCAGTGAGACTATAATTTATGGACGACCTTTGAGCGACGCTAGACTGACCTTGATAACTAGGACCATATGAGAGTTATAAATTAATGTGAAGGATTCGAATTATGATTTACAGTTGTTATTTAAGGATAGAAATTAGATTTGGGGTTTTCATCATGAACTGACATCAGCTATAATTTATTATTTATTTTAACACATAGATATTAGTACAAGGAGGCGCCAAATACATATGCGCCACACAGATCTCATTTGATATGTGTGAGGGCTGTGATACTGCCCGTGTGTCCAAACCGAAGCAGGTGGTTTTCTTAGGGGACCACAGCCGGAGCCTTCGACCTGAAAGTCTGGTCCACAAGGCAGTGGAGCATCGTAAGGAGACGAAGTCCCATGGTAGCCGGTGATCAGCGGTTGGTTCATACGCCATTTGTTCCTTCAGGATACTGGAGCCCATGTGCACCACTCGTTTAGAATCAGGGTTTTCCAACCAAATTCCCTAGGTGGACTCTCCATGTCCACCAACCCGGTTAAAGCGCCGGACATTCACTCTTCGTCTTATTAATTCCGTCAACACCGCCACGAGAAGGCAGTGAGTAGGATTTCCCTGGCAGAGACTATATACGCGTGTCCATGTGAGAGCATTGGAGAGGTAGAGCGGACTCTCCTCACTCTCAGCCGTACCAGGGCATTTGGTGGCCTAGTCCCTATTTGACCAAATGGATGAGTGGATTTCGCAACAAAATCTAAGACCTGTTATCTTATACCTGATTGGTTCGTCCATAAGTTTTAGTTTCGCCTTAAATTCCAATTAATTTGTATCCGTATTTTTCGGAGGATCAATTCACATATGCATATATATATCATATGGTACAGGTTTTCAGCAGTATTATTCTCTATATCTTCTCTGAGTTCAGTACTTAAAGAATAAGTGAAGCCTTTGCCACTGGAAACAAATGAGTGTGGAAAGTTATAATTGTGTACAAATCGAACTTTGATGCATTAATACAACTTGTAATGGTATTTGATCTGAAACAGATAAACATTTAGTCCTTATATTAACAATGGGATAATTTAAGACCATAACAAACATATGCCCGTGGGACAGGTGTGTAGGGGTGGTACTATGTCAAGCCCACATAGATTATTTTAGCTTCTGGACAGATCAACCTATTCATTCTTCTCGAACTAAATTTTGATCACTTATTCGCTTATAAACTGACTGTTTTTATGTAAGCACATATGTGTGTATTCCTTATCTTACTGATTACATATCTGTAACTTATTTTTGTCTGACTAGAAATATCAATTCAAGCTTGTTAACACCAAGTTGATTTACATGCCTTTTCCATCGCGTGTCATTTCGCTTCAGTTTATTCGCTTCCTTTCTCCGATAGACCGTCTGTTCAGACCAACGATTGTACGAAATATATATATATATTCAAACTTATCTAATTCCGTTATTCACTAACGCGAGTCGATAACAATATGTGACGACTGGAGAACAGTCATTCATACGATCTACCTGGAGTCAGATATATCGGGCCACTAAAAATGAATGGCTAGCTGGACTTATTAGCTAAGTGAATAACAAGTTGTGTGTTTGAAGCAAAAAGAATTGCAGTGGAATCCCGGAGTAAATATCAACTCCGAGATGCAGGTACATACTGTTAGCAGGATAGAACACGTGTCCTAGATCTAACTAATAGCCACATTTATCAATTTTATCCTAATTACTCGCTATACTTTGTTACATTTTCTCATGTCAATCATTTATTAATAGGGTAACATTTATTTTCTAAATAATCCCATTATCAACATACATTTAATAGAGAAGTCGATAGTGCTGGTATTTCTTTAACACATTCTCCTAGTTAAATAAAACAAAAAAGAGATGTGGAGGAAATCTGTTATCATTTTCTCCTTCTATGTTATTTTATTTTTCGTATTTCTTAGGATTGGATCTGTAACTAGTGATAGATAACTATATATATTTAATACTAATATTTTGACTTAAATATCACTAATGATAACAATCATTCTTACTTCATATTTACTGTAATAATGTTAATGTAGCGAATAGAACACCAGTGGGGATAATCGAATGTCTTAGAACACGAAATTACAGAGCATCTCAATAAAATCTGAGAACCATATAATAAATCATTAATTTACAAACTGCTAATCCATCGTGTCAAACTTGACTGTTTTTTTTTTCGCAAATATCAGTCCATTGTGTCAGATTTCATTATTCATGCATTTTCATACAACTTGCGTACCGTCTTCATTTTTTCCTTATCGATCTTCTACTGAAATATATTCTATACCTGACTACCGTTATATACTACTTATATGGATATAAGTAACCCACGCAAACAGTAATACTACTGGTTGCCTTATTTCGAATAATCTTAATATTTGAAAATATCAGAAGCAACTTAATAGAAATCTCTAGTGTATAGAACATAATGTGATTACATTCTTATTTTAATCAACAAGTCTCTAATTCATATAACCATTGTTTATTTGTAATACATTTTTAATAGGCTCAGTGATTGAAATTTCTATATAAGGTTAAAAGAATTATATAGAACAATTTGATTCGAGTTTATCTAGACAAATAGTATAAAAGAAACTTATACAAGATTGATTGAGTAAAACAGTTAAACTATTCAAAACTTCAATTCATTGATATGATTAGATTTATTTTATATACCTAAGTGATACATTCTATGAAACTGTTTGATTAAGCTTTAATGAATGATGATATGAACAAATATAGCATGAGAATAGGATGTGTTAGCTTCAAAGTTTGTAGTGTCGGTTGTTATGTTAAGCCCATAAACCATATTCTAGCTTTCGGATGGGCCAATCTATTCGTCCTACTTGAGTCATATTTTGACCTCGTTAATCATTCGCTTATTCATTTTGACCGTTTTTATATGAGCGCGTAGGTGTATGTACACATCTTATCCCCTTACTCATTACATGTCTGTAACCTATTTTTGTGTGACTATAATTATTGATTAACGCTTGACCGAAGGGCAGTTGGTTTACCCGCCATCTGCAACACGCGTCGTTTCGTTTTGCTGTCTTCCATTCGCTTCATAGACAGAATATATGCATTCAAAAGTCCATTGTTGTTATTTGACTTATTTAATTCTGTTAATCACTCAATGCGGATTAAGTCGATGAAGATATACGAGAATAGTCAGGACACATATATTTCGACAACGATCATTCATATGATCAAATTGGAGTCAGATCTCGAGCCAATAAAGTGGAGAGCCCGTCAACAAACATCGTCCGATCTAAATGAACGACAAAATAAAGGGCCCCACTAAAAGTTACATGAAAGTGTTTATAGTTGAGTTCGTGAACCAGAATTCATTATACTGCAATTAACTAACTAAAATTAACCACATCAATAACATCGGTTCATACATGTACATTCAAAAAAGCACTACAGGTAGCTTTAGGTGTATAAATTAGTCTCATTTTTTTATGGTTAACAAAACTACTTGATTTCTCAGCTCCTCGAAAAGTAGTTGTTTAGAACAAAGTCAATTTTCTTTCTTACATAATTGAAATAGACTAAAATCGGGAATATTGACTTATCTAGTAGCATGAAGGTAATATTGTAGTGAACAAGAACTCGAATGGGGACAATCGAATGTATCAGAACATGAAAAAAATATCTCAATAAAATCTGAGAACTACATAGTAAATACTGAATTTGCAAACTATCGATCACTTGACAGTTTCTTTTGCAAATATCAGTCCATCGTCTCAGATTTCATTGTTCCTGTATTTTTATATCAATTGCTTTATGTTCCTGTTCTCTCTCTCTCTCTCTTGATCTTCTACTGAAATACATCCTATTCCTGAATTTCATTATATACTACTTATGCGGATATAAGTAGCTCACATCACAATATGAATATTGAGACGACTAACGGTTTTGAGTTCGGTCCTTAATGAGGGATTATAGTTGAACATTTCCCCTATAACCGAGACACCTTCATGCCTCTTATTCAATCATATTCTAAACAATCTTAATCCATGAAGCAAAGATACAATCATTAAAATTACATAAAGCTTTTTTTAATTGTTTAATCTTCAATGAAATAATTTTAATGACTTACTTTTAATTTATGCCTTAAATGTATCGATGATAAACTTGGATTAATTGATCGAATTAAACGAATCACTTCAAATTCACTTAAGTATCCTTGATTAGTTGAATCAGCTTCATGAAATAAAATTTGTAACCATCTAGAGAAGAAAAAAAAACCAGTATAGTTTTAAAATAAAATATGAATGAAATAGGATATTACTGCTTTACAAAACAAAGTGATGGATTATGAAGATTTAAAACAATTCCCTAGTACACATCTTGACATCAGTTTGAATAAAATAAAGAATATGGAATATGATTGAGTTGACTTCTATTAATTATAATTGAAGTAGTCTTGAAGATTTCATCAACTTATTGATTATGTGCTTATTAGTGATCACCTTCAAATATGTTCTTTTCGTGTAGTTCTATGATGAAGTTTCTAAGTATTAAAGTGAACATGATGTACATGAAGAAAATTTATCATTGAACTATACCAATAAAACTTATTAATTGCTAATTCATTGTGGTTTCCCCGCACGGGTTCGAATCCTATCCCTGTCGCCAATTGTTATAATTTGTACCTTGTGTCCTGTTAAGGTATAACGTAATGATAACGCCAATTAGAGATCAGTGGATTATCGATTGAACCGATGATGCATAAAACCCGTAAGAGCAGTCTAGAATCCTTATCGGTCCTGCTTCTTGACTAGCCCTATCTGTTAAGTACAGAACACAAATCTCAGCCTCTGCTATATGAATCATGTATTTCATACATACTGGGTTTATATACATACCAAACAGACCACATCGTGCCACAAAATAGCAAACAACATTTGCACAAGATTTAGTCAAAATTGGCTGTGAATGTGGGGGATAGTAATTGATAGACAGGACATAACTCAAGAATGGTAAATCGTATAATAATAGTTCATAGATCAAAATAAAAGTTTTGATAAGAGGAACACGAATATGAATAGCTTAGTTACTTAACAATTAAACGATAAGAATATACGTATAATATTGGTTCATAAATGGATCCCAAATGTTACCATTCATTATTCTCATCGGGATATAACATGCTTATTACAATTGTGTGCATTTTATAGTCGTGATGGAATAGAATAAAGTATTCAACATTAATTTTCTGGTTTTCAGTAATTATTTTTATTATGCAATTTTCTAGCTTGATGATAAATCGTCGTTTTGACGGAAATATAACTTATTTTCACAGTTGAATTCAAGAGTCGATCTAAACTAGACCACCATTAAAAACCTGTGGGTACTGGACATCCGTTTCATCCAAGTATGGAACTCCACATCAATGCGTAGCTGTAATTTCAAAAGCGGGACTCAAACCAAAGGTTTTTAAGGATTGCCAAATATAGCATCACGAACTATTCTTAGTTAAATAACCATCAAAAATCAAAGAGCATTGGATAGTTAACTATAATATAACGATTGTTATAGAAAGTATGATATTTACCAGTATGAAAATAGAATTTCAGTTTTAAAAAATAAACATCAAAAACAAACTGTCAGAAACATACTGTAAAACCTAACAAAATCAGAAGTCAGTTTTCAAATCACAGAATAATTGTGATCATGAACCGATTGATGTTGGACCATCATTAAAAATCTGGAGGCACTGGACAGCTGTTTCGTACTATTGTGGGACTCCTCAGCAGCGGGCATCTACGACCCCACCTCGCGAGATTCGAACCAGGGCCTTTAGTATCGCGCGCGAACACTTAATCTCTAGATCACTGGGCTGGCATTCAACGATGTTAATGTCTAACTTCAACCAAACCACGAAATTGCTTTTGTACACATAAGGGGGCTTTAAATTTACGAATGGCCAAGGCTTCAATAAACTTGTAAGCTCGTTCTTGATAATTTCTATACAACGTTTTAAAAGCTGGATTAATATCAATTTTGTGCCCCGTTTCAATTATATGTTTCACTGTCGGGGAACATGGTGCTTTACCTCCTCCACATTGGAACGGATTGCCCAGGAAAGGGTTGGATTGAGAATGCTGGTGAGCGGCCTATGCTCCTTCACGAGGAGTAACAGGCGTAAGTAAGTAAGTAACATTGATCGGATCAATTTTACAGTCAACGTCATTATCATCTTTTATACCATATGTAGTATCATCAATAATAGCTTAACAGTCTATATTGTTATTATCGTTCATATTCAGCATTCATTATTTCTATCCATTTAACCTTTCTTCATTTTCAAAAATTTTTTTGCTTTGCTAACTATTAAAAGAAAAACAATTTTTTTCATGATGTTTATGTACGAAAAAAATGGATGCTCCTGGTGATAAGAGAAAAAAAAAATATTTGCCCAGTATGATATCAATTTAGCTTTTTTTTTCATTTTTTGTCTGATTTTTGTATCCTACCATTTGTAATAGTTAAGTAAGATGATATTAAATAAAGTTTAGTTTGGTTAATTCCATGAAAGAGAAAACAATCATTACAATAGTTGAAATCATGAGTCAGTTGAAGCTAGACAATCATGGAAAACTTGGAAGCATTGGAAATCCGTTTCGTCCTAGTATGGGACTCCTCGGAAGCGTGCATACACGATCTCGCCCCCCCCCACGAGATTCGAACCTATCAGTCTCGCGTGCAAACGCTTAACCTTTAGACCAATGAGGTGGCCGGCATTCAATGGTGTTAATGTCTAACTTCAACCAATCCACAAAATCGCGCTACCGTACATTATTGTCTTCAGTGAGCTGATATCTCACAACAGACCTAGTTGAACTCTACTGGTCACGGCTTCTCAACTGACTCATGATTTCAACTATTGAAATTACTAAAATCTTCACAAAACCCCTTCTGAAAACAATCACTAGATAATATAGACAAACATTTACATATTATGCAGTTGAAATTACAGAAAAAAATGAATAATTTAGGGAAACTATGTTAAAATGTCAACTCCGCCTGAAGCCCCTCAGAGCCTATTATCGATCCCAAGCTCGGATAAAAAGGAGGAAGGTTTGGAATGGGGTTAGTGACCCTATCCCGTAGAAAACTAACTCGCTAAAAACACGCTAACCAGAAAAAGTAGAAAAAGTGTTAAAATGTTGAAAAAAAATTGGAACTCAAGTAGATGAACTTCTGCATTATGATATGTAGTCTTTCCTTGAATGATTGAATTACAAACATCTCATCATTATTTCGGACAAGACATCAGTGTTTGGTTCTAGGAAATAATGAGAATGTTAACACTTAATTAAATCTTTTGTCAAGCTTAGATTAATTTGATGAAGAATAACATGAGTTATGGGAGTTATGAATAGTTGTTTTTTTATGTCTTATTACTTCTTCTTAACCCTTACCCATGACTCTACTAGGAATTGAACTAAAGATTAAAGCTTAGGATCTCGTAGAGTGTTATGTTTCAATCAATGAGTGGAGTGTTAAAAATTATTCCCTTTTAGTGAAATCTGTATCCCAACCACTCATGTATTTTACTAGAATAAAAATATCTTCTGACATTCAATATTGTAAACTAATGTAAAAAAGCAAATGAAATCTTCTTAGTTTGTTATTATTAGTCTTTAAAACTCCACATGGTAGATCGTGTTCTAATGAAAGATTATGCGAATAGGTCATATTTAAGTGTTAGATACCTAATGGAAAAGAATTATGTAATAGATATATATTTCCATGAAATATTATTTTCCTCATGAGCGAATCCAATACGATAAACGACTTATGTACTCAAGAGTTTAGAAAATGTAATAACAAATAAACTTATTTAATGGGTACTTGGATAATGAGTCATACTCTAATTGTCAAGAATAACGACACAATCCGGTTGTCTATGCAGAAGTAGGGAGGGTGGAGAATTTGAAAAAGAGAGTTAGTGGCTAAAAGTCAAACGCCGTTACTCGAATCAAAACTTCTAGATCTTGGGTTCTAATTTTATTGACAGTCTGAATCCTTTCTGTTAAAGAACCCTACACATAGACAATGGCTTCTTTTCTTTATTTAAGACAAGGATTTTGAGGTCGTACTCCCTAGAGCTCATACTAAAAGAAGATAGCTATTCAGTCCTCCACAAATATTCTTATTGATTCTGGTTTTCGATGGATATTACCGATAGTTTATTTTTCTTACTTATTTAGAAGTTTTATATCACAGATTGATTGCGGTTAGTAAACTATTGAAATCAGGAATCCCCAAAACAGCTGTTTATTTCTAAAATGATGACCCTCAACAGAAGGCATGTATGACTCAACTTGAAGTAGAGCCTAGTAATTTATGACCTTATCATATTGTAGACATGAGATGCAGAAAGCATCATACTACCCTACTATGATCTTCGACCTAATTCAATGATTTAATTTTATTTAAGAAGTTATAACTTTAATCAAAATAGATTTCGTGTTATACTGCACGACCAAAGATCATAAGTAATAATTCAACGTCTATATGGAGACAGAACAAGTTGTTGTAATAGTTAAAATAAAAACATTTTTCATAACATAGAAAAAAAGGGAAACTAACAAAAATGTAATAATTCTAATGGTTGAGATCATGAGTCATTAGGAACTAGACCATCATGGAAAACCTGGAAGCACTGGACGGATGTTTCGTCCTATTGTGGGACCCCTCATTAGTGCTTCCACGGTTGCCATGGTAACTTAGCTTCGATTGACTAAAGACAACCATTAAAATCACTATAATATCCACAAAACCCCTTCTGATAAAAATGCAATACTTTGAAATTAAAAGCATTAAGAAGTTTAGGATTACGCAAGATAAAAAAAACACCTAAAGTATATATGAATCATATTTTAAAGTCAATATCACCTGAGGTAATTCCAATCATCAAGTGATGACTTGTAAATTCATGTCATCATTATTGATTCCTCCTTGCTTCCATGATCTCTGAATAGACAACTTATTACTAATGAGTAATATGATCTTACAAAATAAAACTGTATGTAGTGATTCCTACTATTATGAAATAAATTAATGTAATAAATATTAATATCAGAAGGGTTTTTTGTGGATATCATAGTCTACAAACGATTTAATATCCACACGCTCATACCACAATTAGATATCGTGCCTAACTGCGTACCCCAAAATCCGGTGCACGGTTTATGGTGATCGCTTTGGCATAACATTA